CCCTGCACCTTGTTGTCTCGGATTCACCAGCATCTGCAGTTCCTACTATCTCCCTTTTCAGTCCAAGTTGTCTGTGCTGGCCAGACATCTCAATCTGACCTAGTCCCATTTTGCCAATATTTGACCCATTTCCCTTCCTATTCATAATTCCGTCCAGGTGCCTTTTAAATGTTATAATTGTACCAGCCTCCATCACTTCCTCTGGCAGCTGGTTCCATACACACTCTGTGTGAAGAAGTTATCCCTTGGGTCCATCTTAAATCTTTCCCCTCTCCCCTCAAACCTATAGCCTCTAGTTTTGGACTCCCCCACCCTAGGAAAAAGACATCCCTTCACTGTAAGCCTGTGCCCTAACCTTAACCCATCTTCCGCCAGGGCTCAAACTGTACTGCGCTAATCTCATCAAACATCTTCCTTCACTTGTTCTCAATAACTCAATATCTTTACACTACTAACCCTGCTTGGCCACTGCACTGCCTTTTATGGGCTGTTTTATCTTAGACTGAGTGAAAGGGAGGGATTTAGTATGACAAAAGTTGGTGGCACAGATGTGATTGCAGGTGCAGGTGGGGAAAGTTATTAAGGTGTCCTGAGAGGAAGAGTAGGGCAGCGTAGAGGCCAAACAGGGTTGGTAGTGTTAGGATGTTTGAGAACAAGTGAAGGAAAATGTTTCATGTAATGAAAGTGGTAGAGCATGAGCCCTGGTGGAAGGTGGACTACAGTTACGGCACAGGCTGACAGTGAAGGTACAGCCCTTAAACACCCTTTGGTTGAAGATTTTTCTCATGTCAGATCTAATCTGTGAAACTGATTGCCACACAAGTGTGTGGCAACCAAATCATCGACTGTCTTTAAGACAAAGGTTCTTAATAGTAAGGATACTAAAAGTTACAGGGAGAATGCAGGAAAATGGGGTTGAGAAATATCAGCCATGATCAAATGGGGGAGTAGACTCAATGGGTTGAATGGCTTAATTCTGCTCCAGAATCGTGAGGGTTGTGAATAGGGTGTGGAAGTCCAAAACTAGAGGCCATGGATTTAAGATGAGATGGGAAAGATTTAAAAAGGACCTGAGGGGTAACTTTTTCACATCGCAGATGGTGAATGCCAGCTGCCAGAGGAAGTGGTGGGACCTGGTGTAATTACAATATTTAAAAGGCATCTGAATGGGTATATGAATAGGAAGGGTTTAGAGGGATATGGGCCAACCTGGCAAATGAGACTAGGTCAGATTAGGATGTCTGGTTTTCACAGACAAGTTGCACCAAAGGGTCTGTTTCCATGCTGTATGACTCTATAATTCAACTCTTATACTCTCAGGTTCAAAATTTATTTAAATTTGTAATATGTGCTGAAATACAGTAATTACTGTCTAAACGTGACCACTTATAAACAAAAGCTTTTTGTACCAGCAAAAAGTAATGTGGTGTTTCACCCATCAAACAAGAATGCCTGTGCAGCCAAAACAGCACTTTTTGTATAATAATGTCTTGCAATGATTATAATCATGCAAAGTCTAATATTAGAAGAATTGATTAAAATGTTATAATCATGAAATGAAACTAAACTCTTCTAGTAAGCTTGTACAAACATCAAATTCCAACAGATGAAGATGGTTGATTTACTACTTCTCTTGAGAGCCATGAAGGTCATATTTTTGCTAATTATTTTTTTAAGAATTCACTCATGGGATTACTGGCTGGGACAGCTTTTATTGCTCATCCCTAGTTGCCCTTGAGAAGGTCTAAAACTACTGCAGTCCATTTGGTGTGGATACATCCACTGATGCCTGGTTGGAGTGGAGTTTCAGAATTTTGCTGACTTGTTTCTGCCTTTGCAGGGTTTATGATGTCTCACCACTGACTCGTGTTTACCTCTGAAACTACCTTCTAGCATTCCTTTCCAAGTCTGGCCAAACAAAGGTCACAAGCTTCCGTAGCCTTAAAATTCCTACCTACCCTGACATATTGCATTCAACAGGTTTTTAGCTTGATCAAAGTTCCTAACCTTCTTGATTTTTTTACACCTTACATGTAAAATGGTACAAAAATTACATCAGCCCTACACCAGTATTCTCAGTGGACTCACTGTGCTGATCCAGAATCTTGAAATACAGCTACAGGAGCTTTTATGGTAGTACAACACAAATTCAGATGTTGTATTTAGAATCTCATAGCAGACTAATAGCTTTGACCATTGAATCAGAAAGGTAGCAGATGTCTTAGAAATGGTAAGTTCCTAAACTGTAACCCCCTACCTTAATTCTTCTTGCCTCTTGAGTGCTTTATTGGAGGTCACTTAATGCTCCTCAGCAAGAGACCTGCTGGATTTTCAAACTCAGAATGTGGATTTTCAAAGTTAGAGTTAATCAAGCTATGGGAATTATTGTCATACCATTAATTTTGGCTGATAGAGACTGAACACAATTAGATCATCTATATTTTTATTAGCTGGGCAGCCACGCAGTATCCTGAAAGATACCATGCAAACCTTATTCTGTGATAAATACTTCACTTGTGCAGCTACACAAAAGACTTAAAGGGACTGATATATTGGTCATACACAACTAAAATTTAATGTCTGTGTATCATAGTCTACTATTTGTACAGTATCTAGTGTTTCTGTAAAATTTGATGCTGTTCTATCTGTCACTGACCAAGTCAGAGTTTTGCAAAAGACAAGCCCATTGATTTTCACTTTGCATAATGTGGTAAAATGGGAACGTTGATTGTAGTTCAAGCTCTCCAAATAAAAGAGGGGTAGATATTATAAATTGAATTGGCAGCAAAAAGCTTCGCATTAAGAATTTGTATACAGAAGCTATTGAATCCTACCCAATCTTTTGACTGTTAAAGTTAATGGATAGCAAATTTGTACATAAATTCAGACTAAGTTGTCCAGTATACAAAGTTGTGAAGCAAGATCACAGATTCATAAGTATATCCTTCCATAGAAAAAAATTAGTACTTATCTAGCAACTTCCACATTTTCAGCATATTAAAGTACTACACAACCAATTTATCACATTCATGGTTACTATTTAAACAACCAGAGCAGCTCTCTATCCAGCGTAACCTTCCATATTGTATACTAAGATACATAACCAATTTAGTTTGGTAGTTACCAATTCTTCTTTTAGTGATTTTAGTTGAAGGTCAAATGTTTGTGAGGAAGAAAAGTCCAATCAATACTTCCAACAGTGTAGCATCTCCAAGACATAACTATGAATTATGTGTTTACCTGTAATGTATCAAAGTGAGGCCTGCTAAATACAGGCTTTTGACTCTAGCTGACAGTCAATTCCTTGAATGGAAATTAGTGGCAATATGTGGATTAGAAATCAATGAACATGATGTCAGAAAGAGTTCCACAAAATAACTTATTCCAACAATATGCCTCCAGCAGTTTGAAAACAAATCGTTACAAGAGCAATTGTGACATTCATATCAATAGATTTTATCATCTTGGAGGTTTTGTAGCAATTCTGTAAAATAAACTTGATTTAACTAATTATTTTAATTTTTAAAAATGAACAGTAGGAGGAAATAATCACAAACAATTTTACATGTGAATTTTCTCAAAACCTGTTAAAATGCCATCCAGTTCCTATCAATTTCATGAACATATTTCTTCCCCCCTCCACCCCTTCCCCAGCAAAACCAAAGGATTAGCGCCTGATTTAATCAACAAGCATGAAAATACACCTGAAGGTATGTAAAACTATCAAAGATTCTGCAACAGAACAAAACCATGAACCCATTGTGGCTCTATACTCGAGCATTTTATAGCTCTAAATTACAGCATCCAAATGAAGACTATAACAACTGTAAACCATTCTTTATTCTTAATAGTGAGTTTTTTTTGGACACAGGTACTGGTTTTTATATGTTTCTCTATGGAGCCATATTGTTTATTTTTGGCTAAATTTCAAACTTGCAATGAAAACAATATGACAATGTATCTTGGAGCTGAGCTTGGAGGTGGTATTATTCCCTGATGAAAGAGCTACACTCCAAAAGCTTGTGTTTTCAAATAAACATGTTGGACTATAAGCTGGTGCCGTGTGATTTCTGACCTTGTCTGTCCTGGCACCTCCGCATCATAGTATTTCCATGTATTTGCTGCCCTTGTCTTTGTAAGTAGTAGCATTTGTGGGTTTTGAAGCATAGAAATGCAGAAAGTTTGAGCAGGAGTATACCATTCAGCCCATCAAGCCTGTTCTGACGACATCATGTTCACAGCTGATCTTCAATCTCAACACCATACTTCTACTCTAACTCCATATCCCTTGACACCTTTAGCTTCTACAAATCTTTCTTAAATATATTCAATGACTTGGATTCCAGAGTGTTACGTAGGAGAGAATTTCACAGGTTCATCACTGGGTGAATAAAGAAATATCTCCTTATCAAACTGGCATAACCCAGACTCTGACATCTTGATTCCCTGTTCAGGATCCCCACACTGATAGAAATATCATCCCTGCATCTAATTTGTCAAGCCAAATGAGAATTCTATATATTTCAGTGAGATCCCCTCTCATTCTTTTGAACTGTGGTGAATACAGGCCAGTCAACCCAGTCTCTCCTCAACAAACCTGCTATCCTAAGAATCAAGCCGGTGAACTTTCACTGCACTTCATCTATGCCAATTATATCTTTCCTTTGGTAAGGAGACCAAAACTGCACACAAGATTGCAGGTGTTGGAAGAAACACTGGAAGACTGTATAAAATACTGGTCCTCAGTGTCTCAGTACCAAAAGTCTTTGTTATTACCTTGGTCTGATGTGGGGGAGCTCCTAGTCTTCCCAAGGAGATGGTGTGGCTCCTCCCCTTGGATCTTCTTGCCCTTTCCTCCTCTCCTGTCCCTGTATATATAACTTATTTAGCAGGGCTGGCCTTCAGTGCTATGTCAAACATCTGCCTAATCCCTCTTGGCCAATGGCCATGGGACAGCTACTCGTGAATCAGATGCCTGTTGTCCCCTTGCCCACCTCCATTTGAAGATTGATTTTCATTCCTTCGAAGAGTAAAGCCTCCTTATTTTTGATACACTGCTTTGATAATGGCGTAGGGTGGGCCTAACAAATTTTTGACATGAGTTGAGGCCTTGATGAATTTTATGACCTCTCCTTTGTTTTCATTCGAGATTTGTTTACATTTGCTAAAGGCGAGTCACAAATGTCGCACAGTTAGGTTAGTTCTCCTAAACAAGAAATACCAAATGTGGACTGCTGAGGTTTAAGGGAGCCTCCAGTTTTTGACACCAGCTCCGACGTTTGACACAGGAAAAGTCATTTCATAATGCAGCCGAAGATAATTGGACCTAATAAACAGCAATGAAAAGCTCCTGCAGTGATTTCCTGTAGCAGAGGTGATTGATCTATAGTCATCACAGCCAGATTCCTTTGTGCTAAGTAGTACTCCAGCCAGCGGAGAGATTATCCTAGTTCCCGTTGACTTCAGTTTTGCTAATGTGTTCCTCCGATGCCTCGTGTGGCAAATGTTGCCTTGGTGTCAAGCACAGTCACCCTCATTCACTCTGTTGAGTGCAGCCTTTTTGTCCAATTTTGGACAAGGCTGTAATGAGTTCAAGGACTGAGTCTGCTCAACAGAGCTGAAACTGAGCATTGGGCTATTGTTGAGTAAGTGCAACTTGATATCGTTGTCATTGTTGGCTGTGTCAGACATGTCATTTTTGTGGACAGAACATACCTGGGGAGGTTAGGTTTATGGATATCTTATTGATTCTTAAGTGAAAGATAAACTCTTAAATTTTCTACAAGATGTAGATGTATAAAACTTTGCTATCTATATATTTTTGTTCCACAGAGGACTGGGACATATTAGATTCAGAAGGAAATGAGCGGCTGACAGGACAGGAAGATTTTGCTGCATTAGCTGGGCCGCTCGGGTTGAATGACAACAAATTGATTCCAGATCCAGTTCAATTTCCAGAACAGGATCCTCTTGGAGCATCAGTTGCCACTGATAACACACACGAAATGCTTTTAAATAAAGGTAACTTCAGCCCTGTTTTTAAAGTTATTATGAAAATGATAAGTGCATGAAGGTGTAATGGTATCATCAATAGAACACCTCATAAAATGGTTGCATATCCTGTATTTATCAGTTCAATTTAGGATCTGGGTATCAAATAAAGGCCACAGGAGATACGAAAAATGGCTGAGTTGCTTCAACTTGTAACCAGCAGGGGCACAAAAATAAGTATGGAGTGGTCAAGAAATCAATGGCATGCTTTCTTAATGAGAAATGGTGCATACCAATGCAGGATCATATAAAAATAAGAATGTGCTTGTTTCCTATTTTAAAAAAAATACTGCATTAATTCATAATGTTAATAAAATGAATTGTTTATGTTCTAAAGTGGACAAAAAGAGCTACTTAGAAAGCTGGACCTCCCTCTAGTCCTTTCACTCCCCGATTCCCCTAAACCAAACAGATAAGTTCCCATGACACTGATTGGAACCGGCAATGAAAGCTGTGTGCAACCTGCTCAGTAGTGTAGATTTTATTAAACAACTGTCTTCGACCCTTCAAGCCTGCATGTCCATTCTGTAGGATCATGGCTGATCTCATTGTAACCTCAACTCCACAGATCCCCTACCCCCGATAACTTATCACATTTTTTTTTTACCAAGAATCTGTCCACCCCTTCTTAAAAATATTCAAGGACTCTGCTTTTGCTGCCTTTTGAGGAAGTGCATTCAAAACTTAAAACCATCTGAGAGAAAAATTTTGCCTCATCTATGTTTTAAATGGAAGACTTCTTATTTTTGAAAGGTAAACCCTAGTTTTAGATTCTTTCACAAAAGGAAACATTTTCTCGACATCTACCCTCACCAGTCCCCTCAATATCTTGAATGTTTCGATCAGGTTGTCTCTTAATCACTCTTCTAAATTCCAGTGGATACGATCCTAGCCTGTCCAACCTTTCCTCATAGACATTGCCCATTTCTCAGTCTCCTAATCCTCCTCTCAACTGATTGCAGTGTAGATATATTCTTCCTTAAAAAAGGACAACGATACCGTACGTAATCCCACAAAGGTTTCAACCTCATGTCACCATGTGTGAATTGTCATCTTGAACTCTTTCTTGCAGTTTTATGGCGAGAACAAATAAATGGAAGGAACCTGAATAAGGTTTTACCCATTCTGCAGAAACATTGACTCAGAATTTTGTTTGTCCTTGTTTTTCTTCAGTATATTTTATCATGAAATAAGATCTGTAGATAGAATCATAGGATTATATAGTACAGAATGAGGCCATTCAACCCATCGTTTCTGTACCAGCTCCAAAAATATCTACCCAGTTAGACTTATTCTCCAAGCTTATCTCTAGCCCTCTAAATTCATCACTTTCAAATATATCTCCAATTCTGTTTTGAAACCTCCTATGCAATCCACCTCTGCCACTCTCCCAACCAACGCATTCCAAATCCCAGAAACTCTTGAGTAAAGGAAGTTTCTCCTCATCTCACACTTGGCTCTCTTGCTGATCATCTCGAAATTGTGACCCTTAGTTACTGATATATCAACTAGTGGAAACAGAATATCCTCTTTCACCCTGACCAAATTGTTCATAATTTTGAACACCTCCGTAAGGCCACCCCTTATTGTCCTTGGAGTATAGAGGATTAAACCCAATTTCTGTAATCTTTCCTTGTATCTAAAATCCCTCATTCATGATAACATTCTAGTAAATCTTCATTGTGCACTCTCCAGGGCTTTAATGTCCGTACTCGAATAAGATGCCCAGAACTGAACACGATACTCCAAATCTAATCTGACCAATAATTTGCAAAGGTGTAGCACCACTTCCTTGCTTTTATACTGTTTGTACCATTTTCTCTGTTAGGTTTAAATAGGTCTGATGAGAAAACAAACACCAAACTGACTCTGGGTGAACAAGCTACATCTCTCCGGGATACCCAGGAAAGAATTTTTGCTCTACAGCGTATCACAGTGGCTATGCAAATTCTTTTAGCACATACCATGGTTATGAAAGCTTTATCGTTGATCTCGGTCAGGTACGTTAGATATTATAATTTCTCAATAACCTTGGCTGTTGAAAATAATCATTGCCCTAAAATCATAAACATTTGATCAATTATACTACATGAAGGCGGATATCCTAAGTATGAATGAGTGAACAAATAATCAACTAACTGGAGGAAGAGGAGACTCTAAAGAAACACCATTCCTCAATTTTGGAGGAGCCCAGCACATCAGAGCAAAAGACAAGACTGAAGCATTTGCAGCTATTGTCAGACAGAAGTGCTGAGTGGGCAATACATTTCGACCTGCTCCTTGAAGTTCCCAGTATCATAGATGGTGATCTTCAGACAACTTGATTCTATGTGATATTAAGAAATGGCTGAAGGCACTAGACACAGCAAAGGCTGTGAACCCTTCACAACATCCTAGCTGTAGAATTTAACATTATAGTACCAAGAACTAGCTTCACTCTTAGCCAAACTATTGTAGCACAGGCATCTATCGAACAATGTTCAAATTTGTACATATTTATCCTCTTAGCAAATTGCAGACAAATCCAGTTCAGCAAGTTACCACTCTGTCAGTCCATTCTCAGTCATCAGCAAACATGTTGCTTGCTAGCACTGTTAACAGTATTGCTCAGCAATAATGTGATCATTGATACTCAGTTTTCCCCAGAGCCATTCACCTCTGGACTTTATTGTAGCCTTGGTCTAAATATAGATAATAGAGCTAAATTCGAGGGAGTTGATGTGAGAATGTCTGCCCTTAACATATGAAGCAGCATTTGACAATAGTATTAAGGTGTCCTAGAGAAACTAGAGTTTATGTGAATCAGGGAAAAGCTCTCCATTTGCTGTAGCCATACCTAGGACGATGAAAGATAGTTGTGCTTATTGGAGACTAGTCAACTCAGTTCCTGGACGTCATGTAGGAATCTTCATCAGTGCCCTTCCGTGCAACATAAGGTCAGAAATTGGAATGTTTGCTGATGATTGTACAACATTCAGCACCTTTTGGCATTCCTCAGATGCTGAAGTAGTCCATATCCACATGCAACAAGACGTGAACAATATCCAGGATTGGGCTCATACATGTTAGGTAAGGTTTGTGCTAGGCAATGATTGTTTGCAACAAGAGAGAATTTAACCATCTCCCCTTGACATTCAACAGCATTAACATTATTTAATTTGCAACCCGCACCCACCCCCAATTAATATCCTGCGGTTTGCCATTAATCAAAACCTTAACTAAGTCAGTTATATTGACACCCCATCTACTACCTTAAGAATTCACTGGCACACAAGGGCAGCACCTTCCAAACCCATGACCTCGACTACCTAGAAGGGCAATGGTACCACCTGCAAATTCCCTTCAAGTTCCACATCATCCTGACTTGTAACTGTATCACTGTTTCTTCACCAAACTGGGTCAAAGTCCTGGAATTCTTTCCCAAACAGCATTCCAGATCGTCCTAACTTGCTGTATGTAATGTTTTTAAAAATTCTCAATGCTGCCCCTGCTTCTGCCAGTGACATAAACACTGTGCTACCTGTTTGCCAACTCTTCAGCCTCAGAAAATAGTTTTTTGTTCTGTAAAAGCCTTCACAATTTTGAACATATTATGAAGTGTCTGCATCTTTTTAAAAGTCCACGTGCACATCAACTGCACCACCCTTTACTCCACCAAAGAAAATTTAGTCAAAAAGCATTTATTTTATCTGTTTATCTGTTGCCCTTGTCCTTTTAGGTGCTATAAGTCACAGGTTTAGAAACAGCTGCTGTTGGGAGGAGTGCATTGGTAATCAAGCCTGACTGCTCCACTAGCTGTCACGAATGCTAAATGACCAATTTGCCTGAATTTGACTGCTATTTGGGACAAGAGAAATTCACACCAAGTTTCAGCAATAAGCAAAAGAAAACTTTTGTATGATGAACAAGCTTGAGGCATCGTGCAGCATAGTGGTAGTGTTCCTACCTCTGGAAAAGGAGGTCTGGGTTCAAGTCCCATCTGCTCCAGAGATATGTCATTACATATTTATAATGCTCACAAGTCTGTTCCATTTTCAGCGCATGGGTATCTGTACAATGCTTTTGCCCTTTGAAGAGCATCATATCATTGGGAATTGAAGCCTCCTCCCTAACAGTGTAAAATACTTACCATAGAATGTGGTCATAGCAACTTTCTTTCGAGAGAGAGAGAGAATTTTTACATTTTTAAGGCCATCAAAGAATATGGAATATGGCACTGTCATAGAGGGTCAGCCCTGACCAGTTTGGAGCAGACATGAAGAGCCGAAAAGCCTACTCCTGCTCCTAGTTCCTATATTTTCTTTTAACCAGTGGCAAAATTGATTATTATCCACAGCTACTTTGTAAACTTAAACTTTAGAACAATAGACCATAAGATATAGGAGCAGAATTAGGTCTTTCCACCCATCAAGTCTGCTCCACCATTCGATCATGTTTCTCAACCCCATTCTCTTGCCTACTCATGAACCTTGATCTCCTTACCAATCACGAACCTATCTACCAATTGTCTTAAATACATTCAGTGACTTGGCCTCCATAGCCCGCTGCGGCAATGAATTCCACTGATTCACCACACTCTGGCTGAAGAAAATCCTCCTCGTCTCAGTTCTAAAGGGTCTTGCCTTTGCTCTGCGACTGTGCCATCAGGTCCTGCCTGGTCTCTCCTACCAGTGGAAACATTTTCTCCATCTCCATTCTATCTAGGCCTATCAGTACTCAGTAAGATTCAGTCAGATCCTCCTCACCTTCTAAACTCCATTGAGGACAGATGCAGTGTCCTCAACTGCTCCTCATATGACAAGCTTTTCATCCCTGGGATCGTTCTTGTAAACCTCCTGACTCCTCCAAGGTCACTACATCCTTCCTTAGTTATGGGGCCCGAAACTGCTCACAACATTCCAAATGTGGTCCGAGCAGAGCCTTATACAGCCACAGCAGTACATCCCTGCTGTTGTATTCTAGCCCTCTTGAAATATATTTGCTGCCCCAACTGCCAACTGAACTTGCATGTTAAGCTTAAGAGAATCCTGAAACAGGACTCCCAAGTCCCTTTGTGCTTCAGATTTCCAAAGCCTCTCCCCATTTGGAAAATAGTCTACACCTCTTCTCCCTGCCAAAGTGCATAACCTCACACTTTCCCACATTGTATTCCATCTGCCAGTCTTTTGCCCACTCCCCTAGCTTGTCCAAGTACTTCTGCAGCCACCCCACTTCCTCACACTGTCTGCATCCCGCTCCCCCCTACAGTCTCCTCAGCTATCTCTAGTCTGGGTGATTTATCCACCTGCAATCCTTTCAGCCTCCCCAGCACCTTATCCTTGGTGATGGCCTCTGCCCCCTGAATCTTCTGAAGTTCTACTATGCTACTGATATCTCCAACTGAGAAGACTGATGCAAAGTACCTATTCAGTTCCTCTTCCATTTCTCTGTTTCCCAATACCACTTCTCCAGCTTCATTTTCCAGTGGTTCAATGCCCACTCTTGCCTCTCAAGTTTTAGATATCTAAATAACTCTTGCAACCCTCTTTTATATTACTAAACAGGTTACTCTCATATTCTATCTTCTCCCCGCCTTATTGTTTGTTTTTAGTTATACTTGGCTGGTATTTAAATCCTCTGGCTTCCCAGTAATCTTCACCATATTGTATTTGTTTTCTTTTGCTTTTATTCTGTCCCCGACTTTCCATGTCAGCCATGGTTGCCTCATCTTTCCCTTAATGTGCTTTAGGGATGAATTTATTTTATGACTCCCAATCTGTGCCCAGAAATTCCTGCTCCCTTCCAATCAACTGGCCATTTCCTCCCTCATGTCTTTGTAGTTACCTTTACTCGACTGTAGTACTATTACATCTGATTCCAACTTTTCTCTCTCAAACTACAGGGTGAATTCTATTATATTTGGTCTCTGCCCCCTGAGGATTCCTTCACCTTAAGCTCCCTAATCAAGTCTGCCTCATTACACATCACCAAATCCAGAATTACCCATTTCCTTGTGAGCTCTACCACAAACTGCTCCAAAAAAAATCTTATAATTAACATTCCACAAATTCCTTTTCTTGAACAACGAAAACAGAAATTGCTGGAAAAGCTCAGCAGGTTTGGCAGCATCTGTGGAGAGAAATCCGTTAACATTTCAGGTCAAGTGAGTCTTCCTCCGAATACTTCCTTTTCTTGAGATTCTCTTTATTCTAGGAGGCTTGTACTTAACTCCCACCAGGGTTTTTTTTCCCTTTTGCAGTTTCCCAACTCTTCCACATAGATTCTGTGCCTTCTGACTTTATATCACTTCTTGCTATCGACTTGATTTTATTTCATACGAACAAGGCAACCCTGCCCTCTGCCCATCTGTCAATCCATTCAATAGGACTTCTATCCTTGGCTATTTAGTTCCCAGTCCTGATCCTCTTGTAGCCACATCACTATGATATCCACAACATTGCACCTGCTCATTTACCTTGTTACGGATACTGTGTGCATTTAAGTACAACACCCTCAGTCCTGTATTGACTGCCCACCTTCACATAGTTGACCCCTTATCTGCTGTGCTTGAAGTTAGATTCCTGACCCTTTCCATACTCTCAGTCCTATTACTTATTCTGGAAACTTTAATAATCTCTGCAGAGCATCCGTTGCCCCTTGACTTTTCCCTAATTTTCCATGCAACTGACACCCCCCCTCCATGCTAATTAGTTTAAAGTCCTATCGACAGCCTTCACAATGCAATCTGCTAGAAATCTAGTCCCGGCCTGATTCAGGTGGAACTCATCCCATTGGTACAGCTCCCTCCTTCCCCATGATTTGGGACCCATTTCTCCCACCAACCTTTGAGCAATGCATTTATCTGTTTAGTCTTGTTGACCTTGTCAGTTTGCTCACGGCTCAGGTAGTAATCCAGATATTATTACCTTTTCAGTTCTGCATTTAAATTTATCCCCTAGCTGAATGTATTCCCTCAGCAGAACCACTTTCCTAATTCCTCCTACATCATTGGTACCTACACAGACCACGACAACTGGATTTTTTCCCTCCTATTCCGGGTTCCTCTGCAGCCCATATAAGATCCTGAACTTGGGCATCAGGCAGGCAACACAGCCTTTGGAACTCTCGAACCTGGCCACACAGAATAGTGTCTATTCCCCTGACTGTACTGTTCCTGATTACAACTACATTTCTCTTCTCTCCCCATTCTTGAATGCCTCCCTGCACCATGGTGCTATGGCCTGTTTGCTCGTCCTCCTTACAGTCCCTGCTTTCATCCACACAGGGAGCAAGTATCTCAAACCTGTTAGACAAGCTCAGGCTGTGACTGCCACCTGAAACACAGCAACCACGTAACTTGCCCCCTCCCAATGTGTTGCAAGGTTTGAAGGTCAGACACCCGGAGTTCCTCAAGCAGCCAACACTTGCTACAGACGCGGTCACCATGAACCATAATGGGATCCACCATGAACCACATCATGCAGTTACAACATGGTGCCTGGCCCAGCATCTCTATTTTAATAACTTACTTTTCTTTTTAAATTTTATACTGGTCTTTTAGTTTGTAGTGTGTAAATATTTCCCCAATTTACTGTCAATCCAAAAGTAACCAATAATAGTCAAATTAGTGGTAACAAGGTGTAGAGCTGGATGAACACAGCAGGCCAAGCAGCATCAAAGGAGCAGGAAGGCTGACGTTTCGGGCCTAGACCCTTCTTCGGAAGTCAAATTAGTAGTTGTTACCAAGCAGTGAACTCATGGTTTACCTTATGATGTTACTCTTTTGTGCTGGGCTTCAATTTATCCTGTTTTTAAAAAAAAAACTTTCCAATTATGAGCCAAAAAAAGCAAAAAACAATTATCTCTTCCCCTCTGCACTGAATTCCCACATTGTTTTTGAATTCCATAAACAATATACTCACTCAAGCTGTGTCTTATTCAGATGTGATCTCTCCTTCTTGACCGTGCAAAGCTTATTGATTGTGCTCTTTCAACTGACCCTTTCTTAAATAGAGCCAAGATTACTCTCACTAGTTTTTAAAAGGGAATACTCATACGTGGCACCCAAATAAGACAGTTCTGCAGAAATATCACAGCTGAAATATAGGCACCATAACATTGGCAAAGAGGAACAAATTCTATGGATCAAGAGTCCAAACCACAAGGGAGAATGGAAGAGACTTGATCATTTCTTTTGACTTTTAGCAGTTATACACTATTGTTGTTGTTAATGCTCAATTTGGTAGTTGGTCGATTGGACTTGGGTCTTTATTTGAGTTAGACTCTGAAAAGAAGAATGTCTGTGTTTGTGTGTTTTTCACTCTGGTGAGAAAGAGAAAGACCTATTTCTTGCAGGCTTTCTGAAGATCTGGGTTCAGCTGCCCCTTTAAACTGCAGCTTAAAGATCCAAAGGCTGTTCTGAGGCAGCTTTTCAACCCAAAGGTACCTGATGCCAACATGGCTCACTAAAGTATAAAATCCACCTTCTCCAAAATTTATACTTTTGACCTTTGAATTGCAAAATAGAAAACATGTTACGTTCTCTGCAACATAGCAGTGTCCAAAGTTCCGTTTTTCCCAATTTATAGTCCAAAGGAGAGTGCAACATTGACACTGCCTAAGAAGCCTTGGTCAGTTGTTACAATGCGTCAGTTGTTACATTTTGTCGATGGTACACAATATGGCCACTGTCTGTCAATACTGGTGGAAGTGAATGTTAAAGGTGTTAGATTGGGTGCCAGTCAAGTAGGTTGCTTTGCCCTAATTGGTGTCGAGCTTCTTGAATGTTGCAAAGTACGTGGCCTCTAACCTTTACTGGTAGCCGAGGCTTAACGCTGCTTGTCCAATTTGGGATTCTGGTTGAAAGTGACCTCTTTTCCTGCCCCCAGCCACTAGGGTGTTGATGGTGGGGAACCCAGTGATGACAGTGCCACTGAATAGCAAAGGAAGGTGGTAAGCTGCTTCTTGAGATATTTGTGACATACTTTGTGCTTTAATCTAAAGCGTTAAGTGCTTTAGATTATTTTGAAATGCAGTTGGGAATGAAATGTTTCTAAGCAATACGTTAATTTTTTTTCTTTTCTCTTTCAAATTATGAAATTGTAGTGGTTCCATGTGCAGTCAGACAAGTGGCCTGGAAGCTCTTGGATTAACTGATATCCGTGTCTTGGTTCGGTTAATGTGTCTTGCTGCTGCAGGAAGAGCTCAACTGGCAAATAATGGAACCGAATATTTATGTTCAAATAATCAACTTAGACCTTCAAAAGGAACATTGTGGAATACAAACTCTTGCCTGGCTTATATGAGTTCAGCTATTGGCTGCCTAGTGGCTAAAAGTCCTACTGCTTATAGAGTGTTAGTTGATGTTTGCACTCAGGTAAGATGGGGAATAAAACATTTGTAATATAAATTGATAATACTGAAAATACTCAATGAATCAGGCAGCAACTAGTTTCATATTGATGACTACTAGAGTTCTAATAAAAGGTCATTGATTTAAAACGTTAACTCTACATTTTTCCATGTTGAGTGGGGGGCATTTTCAGTTTTATTTCAGATTTTCACAATAGCAGGATTTTGCTTTTTTATTTTCATAGTATCATAGAATTGTTAAGAGCACAAAAAGAGACAGCCGGTCCACCGTGTCCATTATAGATCTCAGCAAGATCTACTCATCTAGTCCCTGCCTTTTCCCATAGCCCCACGAATAATTTCTCTTCAGTTATCCAGTTCTCTTTTGAAGGCCTTTGTTGATCCTCTCTCCAGCACATTCTCAGCCAGAACATTCCAGATCCTAACCACTCACTGCAGAATTTTTTCCTAATGTTGTAGCTTCTTTTACCAATCACCTTGAACACTGGTTCCACCCATTGGATTTGATTTTCCACATCTGCTCTAGCTAGACCCCTCATAATTGAGAACATCTATATCAAACCGCCTCTTGATCTTTTCTAGTCTATCCACATAACTAAAGTTCCTCATCCCTGGAACTATTCTTGTGAATATTTTGTGAATCGTGAATATATGCCTTCAAATCCTAAAGTACAAATCTTAAAACTTACAATATCTTTGTATTTTATTGCATTATATACAAAATACAATTTAAGATATTTGTGTAACTTTTGCAATTGGAGTCCATAGCAAGTTAGTACAGCAGATCTATTCATTTACTTAGTACAATGTAACAAATATAGTGTTCTGTGAAAAATTGTTTAAAGCTTCAATATAATAATATGCTGTATATCTAAATTGACACCTTTGAGAAAAAACAGTAAATGATCCAGGGGAACGTTTCATATGTTACTTGATCGTGATAGGAATTTAAATAGCTCCATGTTACTTTTTCCCAGGATTTGATTGCTGCTGCAACAGGGCTGCATGTAGGTATGATCCGTGACTCCCAGCAGAAGAACAGAGTGTTTCACCTTTTCCATAGACCAGTAAAAGACAACAAACTTTCTGGTTCTCCCAACTTTCTGGTAACTCAAGCCTTAGTTGAACTGCTCACTGAAAAAGGTTTCCGGCATCAGTCCAGTCGTGACAAGGAAGAGACAGAACCCAGGGGTAGGAATATTTACATGACAGATTACTTTGCTGATTTGTGAAGAAGCTTTAACCTGTTTTACAAACACATTCAGCAGTTGAATTTTGTTACAAATGCTGCTGTAAATTAATTTGTTGCCTAAATGATCGGGTCTGTTTACTGAGATAGAGTATAAAAATGAGAAGTCTTGCTCCAACTGTACGTTGTATTGGTGAGAATACATCTAAGATACTGTATATGGTTCTAGTCTTCTTAAAGGAAAATATGCTTGCATTGGTAGCATTCAGAGGAGATTCACTAAAATAGATTCGTGGGTCAAAAGGAATGCCATATAATGAAGTTTGAGCAGGTTAGACCAATACTGTTTGGAGTTTAGATTGAGAGGTTATCTCCGTGAAACATGTTAAGGTTGTGTGGGAGCTAGAGTGTGTAAATGCTGGGAGGATGTTTCCCGAAAGGTATCCCGAAATGCAGTGCACGCTGATGTACTGACAGGAGAATGTTTCATGCATGATATGCCTGTTTGGGAGAGAAGAGTAGAATGCATACATGTAAATTGAGATTCAGAAAATCATTGAAGGATATGGAAATAATTTTCACATTTTCTTTTCCAGATGCAGCTTCAAATACTACTACATCTCCCTATTATTCGTCATCACACGTAGGACCCTTAGAACTGGCCAATGCACTTGCAGCATGTTGCTTATCAGGGAGACTGAGTTCTGGACATCGTCAGTGGGCTGCACAGCATCTTGTACAGGCCTTGTCAGTGTCAGAAAGGAGCAACCAGTTCAGGCCGCAAACCTATGCAGATTTAGCAGGGGATCTCCGGAAATGTCCAACTGTTAAACTGGAAGCACACGAGAACCGGGTATAATCAATTTATCAAAATTTGAAACATTTCAAACTGATGTCTAAAACTGATCTTAATAAGACAATGTAAAATTAAGAAGTTGAATATCAAAAATATAGAAGCTAATCAGGGTATCATAGTAAGGCTGAAAATTATTTACATACAGGACAAACCAAAGTAACACAGGACTCCTAACAGAGGAGATGGTTGGGATGAAGTCAAGGTACATTTCCGTAAGAGGAAATGTTAAGAGCAACTAAAAGGAGACTTCCTTAGGTAACATGAAAGAGTATGAGGTGAAGCATAAAAAAAAGAGGTCAATGATGGTTGGCAGATTGATAATACAGGTAAGAACCAGTCTGAATAGATAAAGTTGAGAGGAGAATTGAAACAGGAAAAGAGAATATGAGAAAAGATAGGCAGAAAACTTGAAAGGAATGTAAAACTATACAGTAGGTATTAAAATGTGAATGGTGGTAAAAGAAAGGAGTAGGGCCAATTAAGTACGTAAAGAGGGATTTACATTTGGTATCTCAGTCCCCTGCCTCTAATTGAGCACCTTTGTTACTAAGAAAGGGATGCTGCCACAGACATCGTGAAGAGGAAGTGCTGAAGATATTGGATGGGCTAAGAATTTATAAAGACGAGGAGGAATAAGAAAAGCTGGCTGTGCTTAAAAGTTGATAAGTCACCAGGCTGGGATAAGGTGCATCCAAATAACCTGAAGGTAGTCACGGTGGAAATTATAGAGGCAATAGCATAATCTTCCAATCGTGGGCACGGTAGCTTAGTGGTTAGCACTGCTGCCTCACAGCGCCAGGGACCCAGGTTCGATTCCACCCTTGGGCGACTGTCTGTGTGGAGTTTGCACGTTCTCCCCGTGTCTGCATGGGTTTCCTCTGGGTGCTCCAGTTTCCTCCCACAGTCCAAAGATGTGCAGGCTAGGTGGATTGACCATTCTAAATTGGTTAGGGGGATGGGCCTGGGTGGGATGTTCTGAGGTTCGGTGTGGACTTGTTGGGCCGAAGGGCCTGTTTCCACACTGTAGGGATTCTATGATCTGTGATCTCTTGATATGAATGGGAAGCCAGAAGATTGGAGAATTGCAAATGTTGCATCTTTATACAAAAAAGGATTTAAGGATAAACCCAACGACTCTGGGTGAAAGGTTATTAAGGAGAGAGTGGTTCAAGGGATCAAATAGCATATTATTGCTCCTAACACACATGTTCCTTTGTAATATGTTTAGGGGACACGACGGCCTAGTGGTATTGTCACTGGACTGTTAATTCAGAGACCCAGGTAATATTTTCGGGACTCGGGTTTGAATCCTGCCGCAGCAAATGGTAGAATTTGAATTCAATGAAAATCTTGAATTGAGTCCAGTGATGACCATGAATCCATTGCCAATTGTCGAAAAAACCCATCTGGTTCACTAATGTCGTTTAAGGAAGGAAACTGCCATCATTAACTGGTCTGGCCTACGTGTGACTCCAGGCCTACAGCAATGTGGTTGACTGTTAACTGTCTTCTGGGCAATTAGGGATAGGCAATGAATACAGGCCTAGCCAATGACACCCCTATCCTGTGAATAAATAAAAAAAAATTATTACAGGCCAATCAGTGGTGGAAAGATCATAGAAACAATAATCCAGGATAACATTACCATTCACTTGGACCAAAGTGAGTTTATTAAAGCCAAATAGTGGTTGAATAACTTGACCTAGTTTATTGATGACAGCTGGTTGAGAGTCATGCAGTGTTTATGGACTTCGGAAGGCATTTAATAGAGTGCCACATAATTAGCTTGATGGCCAAGTTGAAGCCCATGAAACAACAAGAAAGGTAGCAAAGTGGAAAATAAGTTGCCATCAGGAAACAGCCATCATGCCACCATTATTGAATGGCTTGAGGTGTACTCATGTTCCTATGGTCCTCTGGGACTATGGTGACTTTATCTTTTCCTTCTGGATGATTTCTTTTAAGCTCATTACAGCTAAAGCTGTGGTGGGGAGTGAATATTTTTCTCATCTTGGCTCCCAGTACTTCTGGTATACCAAGACCAGAGTAAGAATAAAGTTCAATAAGCTTTGTTCCTCTTAAAAGCTAGAAGAAACCCACTATTGAATAAATCTGTTTATTTAATATTGGTTGTAATTGATCCTTAAGGCCTTTTGAGAATGATTTTAAAAAGGCAAAATGCAAATCTAGGTAATAGAACCATAAAATTGTTATAGCTCAAGAAGCCACTGGGCCCCTCATAAGACTATCAACAAGACAAGAAACAGGAGAAACCCATCTAGTCCCACATCCTGTCACTTCCCCGTAGCCCCATACTGCAATTTCTTTGCATTTCGGTGCTTATCCAGATTCCTTGTGAAGGCCTCGTATCAGCTTCCACTACCACATCCTCAGGCAATGTATTCCAGACTATGACAATGCATTACATAAAAAAGCTTTTCCTTGTAAAGCTGTTGATTATTTACCTTAGATAAGTGACCTCTGGTTTACAACCCTTCTGCTAACAGGAACCGTTTTTCTGTTAGATCCTCTGTGATTTTGAATGTTATTTATCAAATCTCCTCTCACTTTGGTACTCCATGAAGAACAAACTCCAGATTCTCTAATCTACATACCTAAGTCCCCAAGGCCCTCAAATTCTGGAACTATTTAGATAACTCTTCACATACTCCTCATGGGTGCAGTGCCCAGAATTAGGCACAAATATTCCACTTGAGACTGAATCAGTTTTCAATAGTCGTCATAAACTCCGTGCTCTTGTAGTCAATTCTTCTATTTATAGAGCCTAGGATCCCAGTCATTAAGTACTACTACACCTTGTCCTGTCACTGTCAACAGTTCTTTTTTTTATTGTTAATTGGGAGTTGCTGGCTAGGCCACCATTTATTACGCTATCCCTAATTGTCCAGAGGGCAGTTAAGAGTCAGCTGTGGGTCTGGAGTCACATGTAGGCCAGACCAGGTAAGGATGACAGTTTCCTTCTCCAAAGGACATTAGTGAGCCAGATGGATTTTTCTGACAAATGACAATAGTTTCGTAATCATCATTAGACTCTTAATTCTAAATTTTTATTGAACAAACTCCACCATCTGCTGTGGTAGGAATTGAATCCAGGTACCTAGAACATTACCTGGGCTATTGGATTAACAGTCTAGTGATAATACCACAACACCATCGCCTCCACCACGAGACACATTCTGTCAGTTTGAGTACTTACCCATTATTCCAACTGTGTTTCTTGCCATTCACCAATTTCCTATCCATGTTAATAATTAGCTTTTAGGTCTGTGGACTTCCACCTTAGTCTCCGTGTGGGACTTTGTCAGAAGCCTTCTAAATGAATGAATTAGTTTCATTGTCACATGTACACAAATGAGCACAGTGAAAAGTTTAGAAGTAACCACTTATGGTACGATCTTAGCTACGTGATACCTAAGCACACACACTTCAGAACAAATTCTTAGGAAAAAACAATTAGAAAAATAAAGAAATAGCAAGTTCACCATAACAGATCGTCGGAATCAACTAGAAAATTTCGAAATAAAAAGTTCAGATCAGCAGTCCTTCCAACCCAGGCCACACTGGCACCTAGACTCAAGTCTGCACCAGGCCTTGACTCCAGACTGCACCGGGCTTCACCTTGAGGCCAGGAGACCACTCTAGATTCACCTCAAGGCCGGACGTTCATGCTGAGGCTGTGCCAGGCCAAAAGACCATCATGGACTGCCGAAAGACCATCATGCTGGGCCAGGAGGACGCCACTCCGAGTCCACGCTGACACCTAGAGTCTGAGGCCAGGAGTTCAGGATGTCACCGAGGAGAAAAAGAACAAACACAAAAGAGAGAAACGGAGTAAGAAAAAAGAAAAGGAAATGGACGGAGCGGACAGGCTCCAGCAGAAGCAATCTACGCCGTTGCCATCTGGAAGTCCATATAAACAACATCCATCGACTTACCTCTGTCCACCACCTCTGTCACCTCCTCAAAAAAACCTGAGGTTTGTCAGGCATCACCTGCCCCTTATGGAGCCATGCTGACTGCACCTGATTAACTGAATTTTTTTGAGATGATCAGTTACACTAGCTTTGATTTTTAACTCCATCAATTTCCATCAAATGTGAGGTTACCTCATCTGTAATTCTATGGTTTCCCTCTGTTACCCTTCTTAAGGGGTAGAGAGACCTGAGCAAATTTCCTATCCAGAAGTACAACTCCATAATCTTTGAGTTCCATGGATTCAGGTTAGGGCATCGGCAGTATGCTCTCCTACCTCCTTTAACACCGGTGAACGGACCATATGGCTGCTCCCTCATTAGAGAGAGGGGGAGAGATATGACTGGTGGTGGTTTAACCTGAGGGTCACCACACCTAGGTGAGAGGAGAGGTTGAGAAGGAGAGTCCTTTATGGTAACCTTAGTGCAGGAATTGAACCCACACTGATGGCATCACTCTACGTTACAAACCAGCTGTCCAGCCTGCTGAACTAAGATGGTATGATCCAGTTAGGAGGAATGAACTTATTTCCTTCCCTGTCCCACTGCTCCACAACTGACGACAAAGTTGAAATTTAAAATAGAAACTAATATTGCTAATTTTATTTTGAGTGTTCATATCAGGCTAAAAGTAGCTCTTTTAAAGAAACAATTCTGCCATGTACCTTAAGTAACAACTAAAGAACTAGTTAATTGCAAACCAAACTTACTTGAGCAAAGATGTAGAGATTAAAAAGTTTTAAGCTCTACAAACATGTGTAACTACGCTTCTTGAAAAATAACACGGACACACCCTGAAAAAAATAACTGCAGTATGCAATGTTTAAGAGTCCCCTGGCCAAGTAACAGTTAAATTTTTTTAAAAATTACAAATCGTCCCAAATATTGATTTGCAGTCAAAGCCACTTCCCATAGAAGCTATTGGCACCGGGTTCTCTTCTCAGAACAGTTATGGCTAATTGAGTTCTCTGATAACTGTGGTGGGTGGATTCTGAATTCTCCTTAAGCAATCTCCACAAGTAGTGGTGAGGTCTTCCATGTAAAAGATCTTTTCAACCCAGAGTAAGAGTGAATGTTATTTCCCCTGAAGCAGGTAAATCTTCAACATTGGTTTCATTTTAGCAAGGGGAGGCAATGGCCTTGTGGTATTATCGCTGGACTGTTAACCTAGAGACCCGGATAACATTCTGGGGACCCGGTTTCAAATCCTGCCACAGCAGATGGCGGAATTTGAATTCAGTAAAATATCTGGAATTAAGAATCTAATGATGACCATGAATCCATTGTCAATTGTCAGAAAAACCATCAAACTAACATCCTTTAGGGAAGGAAACTGCCATCCTTACCTGGTCTGACCTACATGTGACTCCAGGCCCATCGCTATGTGGTTGACTCTGAACTGCCCTCTGGGCAATTAGGGATGGACAATAAATGCTGCCTAGCCAGCAACGTCCTCATCCCATGAATGAATAAAAAACATAAGTTTCTGTGTTGAACGCACAGGCAGGACAAAATCTTATATGAACTTGACCTTTAAAATTGGCTGCCCATTTTCTGTCCAGGGAGCTGGGGGAGTAATCAGAAATGAAGGTTGAGCCAGTGGACGAGGTAAGAGCTGAAGGGAGGAGGATACCAGTTCATGAAGTAGACTAGGCGAAAAATCTGACTTGGGGCTCCAGCACTGTGGCCAAAATGAAAACAAAGGGATTAAGTATAAAATATCTCTCCAGCCCTTGGCCCTCAGTCTCCATGTCTCAGCTATACCATCTCATGTCCCTTATGCAACCCTGTGCCCCTTCCCATTCCTCCATGACCTTTCAAACGCACTCTGCCAACTTAGTGTCTACTTCCAACAACCACCTTTTCTCTATTCACCTACTGTGCCAACTCACATGGCATCCACAAATACCCATGCACATGGGATAACAAATATATTTCTATTGGTTTCTATACTGCAGAATGTAGAACTTCATTGAGAGAAGTACCATCTGGAATGTGGACATCACTGCATGCCCTGGAGAAGGTGGTGGTGAGCTGCCTTCACAAACTGCTTCACTCCTTATATTGTAGGAGCACTTACAATGCGTTTGGAAGAGAGTTTCAGGATTTTGACCCAGTGACCATGAAAGAACAGCAATACAGTTGCAAGTCAGGATAGTGTCTAGCATGGAAAGTAACTTAGTGTTCCCATTTATCTGATGCTCTTGTCCTTCAAGGTGGTAGAGATTGCAAGTTTAGAAGATACTGGCAGAGAAACCCTGATGAGTTACAGTAATGCATTTTGTATATGGTACACACTGCTGCCATTGTGTATTGGTGATGGTGGTGGTGGTCAAATAAGCAAGCTGCTTTGCTCTGGATAATGTCAAGCTTATTGAGTGTTGTAGGAGCTGCAGTAATTCAAGCTAATAAAGAGTATTCCATCCTGACTTGTGTCATGTAGTTGATGGACAGGGATTGGGAGACGGAAAATAAATGACTCACCATAGGATTCTTAGCCTCTAGCCAGAGTATTTATATGGCTTGTCCAGTTTAGTTTCTGGTCAATGGCAACCCCTGAATGTTGGTGGTAGAAGTTTCAAGTGATGGTAATGCCATTGAATGTTGTGAGACAATGGTTAGGTTATTTCTTGAGGAAGATGTACACCATTTGGCACTTGTATGATGTGAATGTTAACTGCCACTTCTCAGCCCCAGCCTGAATGTTGTCCAGTGACAGTTTCATGGAGTTTATGCACTCTTAGATACAACCTTTCCAAAGTCTTCCCCGTAGGATCCCTGTCTACAACACTTAAAAGTTACCTGAATCTAGGAAATTTTGTAAAAGTCATAGCCTGAGCACCTATCTCTGCAGCTATCTATTTCAGAACCTGGTACAGGGAGCTTGTCCTATTTTAGTCCCTTAAGTTTCTCCAGAACTTCTATTTATTTATTTTAATTCCCTCATTCTTAACACTTAAGTTAACCTTTATTTCTGCAATGCAACTATTTATCTTCTACTGTGAAGGCAGACTCAAAATTTTTGTTTTATATCTCTACCATTTCCTCACTCTCCATTTAAAAAAAAATTCTCCAGTCCATCTTTCTAAGGAACCAGTGTTTTATGTTGTTGTAAAGTTTCTCACAGCCGTGTACTCTCGGCTAATTTGTTCTATTCTTTTTCCTATTTATAATCTTTTTGACGTCCCTTTGCTAGTTTCTGAAACACTCCAAATTCTCAAACTTACTACTATTCTTTGCAATATTATAACCCTTCTTAATTATAAAAAATCTAATACTATCCTTAACCTCCTCAGTAAGGTACGAATGGATGGTGATAATGATTATATTCTGAGAGTGGTGGAAGGTATCTAATCTTTATCTGTTTTGATATCAATTTCAGGTTGCAAGTTGTTCCTGGTCAATTGGAAAGTCTTTGCTAGCCACGAGTGCCCTGGATGGAACCATTCGCCTCTGGACTTTAACAAAAAACACAGTTGCTTTAAAGCAAACAATTTGTTTTAAAACTTGGTATGTTTACATGACTTTTACAAGCATATGTTGATCCTCTGATGCGCACTGCAAAATGGGCAGCAAATTAAACTTTTTTTTCCAACATTAACAAGATCCACATTTGTCCAGCCATCAGGGCACCTCTCGTTGGGTATTTATGATGCACATATTGGTGCTTATTTATCACTAAATCCACTTGTACCTAAAATTGAGCCTCCTCCCTGAATCCCTCATCTGTATCCAGGTGTACTACTTCTTGATCTACAGCTAATGGGTCAAACAACAATTTGAACAATATTAGGCATGAAGAATATCAGATTCTGAGGAAGAACGAGGGCATTAGAACATAGCACTCGGAGAGCAAAATGATGAGGTTACTGCCATTTGACTGTTGTTCTCATCAGTGGTCTCAATGTCATGACAAAAAGTAATTGACCTGAAATATTAACTATATCTTTCCTCATTGATGCTACTAGACCTGCTGGAAACTTCCATGATTTCCTGTGGTTGTTTTAGATTTGTAGCATCTGTTTGTAAGTCTGTTCTGCTGATACTGGTTGAAAAAATGATTTTGGCCAGGACTCCAGAAGTGCCTTTGCTATTCTTAAAATCCTTTATGTCTGGGCAAACAGGACCTCAGTTTAATGTTTCATCTGAAAGACAACCCTTTAGACAAAAGAGTACTCCCTTAGTACTGAACTAAAGTATCAACTCAGATTATGATCTGGAGTCCTAGAGTGGTGTTTGATATAAGGGCAAGAGTGGTTGAGCCAAGCTGACTCGTGGGCGTGAATTCAAACAATAGGTAGATCTGGATCCAGTTGGATATAGTAATAAGAATCTGACTCCATCCCACTTATTTCCGGTTTTAACTGAGGCAAGCATGGTGTTGGGCATGCATCCAGCTTACTTCCAGGAGACCGATTTAATTTAAATTAAATTTCACTTGGGCCTTTGGATTTCTCCAGATTCGGGAAATATGGCAGCAACTGAGAGGTGAGAATTTCTGGATCCTGTAAGTGAGTGACTATGAAGTGCCTTTGGACTTCTCTGCTAGATTAAGCTTACCTGCCTTACCCTTGCCACTCACCAGCCAAGACATTACCTCCACTTTGATCCTTCTATTATACCTCATTCCCTTTCCAACCTCAAGGTGTACCTTAGCTCCCCATTCATAATCTCTCTTCATCTCCATTTGCTTGAAAAAAAGGTTTTAATCCATACTTTGCTGTCGAATTGGCAGAACGAGGGGAAGCTGATGCTCAAAACACCTTACCCACCTCCCCATAATTATTAGGGCTTTGTAGATATGTCTGTATATTCAGCAGATAACCAACAATGCGATATTGGTAATAATAGTGAAATTTCCTTTCCTTTCTATACGCTTCATATAAACCTACCAGTGAAGACTCTGATAAGAGGCCGAGTACACCTACAGGTGACATCAATTTGTCTCCTGTTCACTGGAGTGCAAGTGGTGGATTCTTGGCTGCTTCACAAGACAAAATAATCAACATCTATCATGTGGATGGTAAGATATTAATAATAAACAGAACCCATTGCATACATCCCCTCCTGCTTTTGGAACAATATTTGCAATATACCGCTATTCATCACTGTGTCAAAAGGCTAAATTAATTCCATAGTATTAGTGAATATTCATTGCTCAGTAACAGCCCATTCAGTTTAACAAATTTGAGCTGGTATATGTCTCTTTCCATCTTTCTTTTAACTGAACCCCATCAACCCAGCTTTCCATTGCTTTCTCCTTTGTACGCTTAGCTTTCCTTTAAATGTATCTCTGGTAATTGACTTGACAAGTCCTTGAAACAAGTAGTTTGCTTTCTGTCCATTCTCTGGGTAAAGAGTTCTCTCCCAAATTCCCAATTGGATTTTTCTGATATTTATCTTCTATTCATGGGGAGGCAATGGCCTAGTGGTTTTACTGTTGGACTGTTAATCCACAGATCCAAGTAAAGTTCTGGGGACCCTGGTTCGAATCCTGCCACGGCAGATGATGGCATTTGAATTCAATAAATATCTGGAATGAAGAGTCTAATGATGACCATGAATCCATTGTCGATAGTTGGAAAAATCCATCTGGTTCACTAATGTCCTTTAAAGAAGGAAACTGCCATCCTTACTTGGTTTGGCCTACATGTGATTCTAGACCCACAGCAATGTGTTTGACTCTTAACTGCCCTTTGCGCAATTAGGGCAGGGTAGTAAATGCTGGCCTGACCAGTGTTGCCCACTCCCCATGAGTGAATAAAAAAACTTGGTTCTGGGCTCATCTAAAGTAGAAAATATCTTTTCTGCAACTGTACTTACAAACAGCCATAATCTTAAAGGCTTAAAGATCTTAAAGATGTGACTTTAGATCAAGTCACTCCTCAGTCTTCTGTTCTGTAGGAAAAAAGAGTCTGTTCTTCTCAAGTTCTGATATTTTTCTAATAAAACTTTTTTTTGTACCTTATCCAGTATCTCTCCTTTTTCTTGTAATATAGACACTAGAACTGTTCACAATACTCCCAAGTGTGATCTAACCATGATCAGTTAGAGTAACTGTGTCTGCCACACATACACTATGCCAATGCCTCTTCCTAAATGGTGATATTATCATCTTTGGCCAAGGTGAAAGTTGGTAACTCAACTGTATCGTGGGCAGAATATTGATTTTTGTTTAGAAATGTTTTTCACTGCTGATGAATTTTTCAAAAAAACCTTAATGGTTATTCATTGCTAGTTACAAAGGTAAGTGGAAAATATGCAGTTCCAACTATCTCTGGAAAATATGATTTCTGTTTTAGAACAATATAGACTTGACCTTCATCACAGAGGATTTGAGTACAGGAGTAGAGTTGTCTCGCTTCACAGAGGTATAATGCCTTGGAGTGACTGTGTAATTTTGGTCCCCTTAAGTAAGGATATGCTTGACATAGAAGGAATGCATTAGAGATTCAACGATTAATCCTTGGGGTGACAAAATTGTCTTGTAGGGAGAGATTGAGTCTAGGTCTATATTCCCTAGAGTTTTGAAGAATGAAAGGTGTCCACATTGACAGTTGAAACATTCATACAGGATGTGACAGGGTGAATATTGATTAAAATATTTCCTCCTGGCTCTTGTGTCAATACTTCCTGATGATTGCACAATATTCAGCACGATTGACAGCTTCTCAGATACTGAAGCAGTCTGTGTCTATATGTATCAAGGCCTGGACAACATCCAGGCTTGGGTTGACAGGTTGCCCTGCCACAGGAAGGATGTTGTTAAACTAGAAAGTATACAGAGGGGGAAAAAAATTACAAGGATGTTGCCAGGACTGGAAGGTTTGAGTTTTAAGGAGAATTTGGATAGACTGGGACCTTTTACCCATGAAGCATTGGAGGCTGATTAGTGACCTTTATAAATTTGTAAAATTGAGGGGCATGGATAAGGTGAATAGCTAAGGTCTTTTTCCAAGGGTGGGGGTGACCAAAACTAGAGCACATAGGTTTAAGATGAGATGGGAAAGATTTAAAAGGGCCATGAGGGGCAACACTTTTACACAGAGGGTGGTGCATATACAGAATGAACTGCCAGAGGAAGTTGTAAACGTACGTACAATTACAACATTTAAAAGATAGGTACGTGAACAGGAAGGGTTCGGAGGGACATTGTCCAAACACCAGTAAATGGGACTAAATCAGTTTAGGTTACCTGGTCAGCATGGACGAGTTGGACCAAAGGGCCTGTTTCTGTGCTGTATTACTCTATGACAAGTGCTGGGCAGTGACCAGTCTCTCATTTCTGCTCAAACTGTTTTGATACCTTGATTTCCTGAGCTTAGATTTTCCCCCTCTATTTTACTATTGTCGTCATTAACTAACAGAGCCACCTCTCAATTTTATTGTAGTTGTCTTATCATTCTTAAATATCTTGTACCATCTCAAACCATGTCATCCTGCAACTGTGTCTACCGCATACCTTCCAGATTGTACTTATTCACTTCTATTTGCGTTCTCAGTAAAACTGTTTTGTTTCAAATGCTGTATGCATTCAGATAAGAGTCCTTAGTTTTATTCTTTCTCTCTCATTGTAAATTTTAGTCTTGTCTTTTGGTTGACTCTTAAATAAATATTCTCGTTCCCTTCCTGTATTTTTAAAAATAATTTCCCATATTAAAACATTAATACTCCGAGCTCGACACCTATTTGAGTTACTGCATTTTTTAAAATTTGATCCTTTGCCCCAAATGTTGAAACAGTTTAACTGCTTTTCAGAACCTTTTTACTTCATTCTGTGATTGGCAAGAACACTGGTCCTCATACGGTTCAGATGGAGACAGTCCCACCTTTTACAGAGCTCACTTTCTCCAGAACTGGTGCCAGTGCCTCATGAGCCACAACCCATTTCTCCCAATCAGCCTTCATCTCTCTGGTCTGATTTGCCCTATGCCAATTTACATGGATCTGAAGTAATGCAGAGTTTATGACCTTGAAGTTCTCCTTCTAAACATGATACTTAGTCCCTCACACAGACTATCCAGAACCACACCTATTGATTATATGCCAACCTTTTCCTAGCGACTTTCAGTTTTGAACAAGAGTCACTGGACCTGAAACATTGAGTCTGCTTTCTCTCCACAAATGTTGCCAAACCTGTTGAGTTTCTGCTTTTGCCCCACCTTTGATTGGTAGCTACATAGACCATGACAAGTGGATCCTCCTCCTCCCGCTGTAGGTTCTTCCCCAGCCATGAGCAGATGTCCCAAACCCAGGTGGCAGGCAATAACACAGCCATCTGGACTTGGGGTGTTTGCTGCAGAGAATGGTTTCAGTCCCCCTTACTGTACTGTCCTTTACTACCACTATATTCCTTTTTAAGTACCCCGAATGGCTTCCTGTATCATGGTGACATGGTTAGCTCATCCACCTTGCAGCACTCAGTCTCATCAAGACAGGCTGAAAGTATCTCAAACTGTTAGACAATTGCAAAGGCTGACACTCCTACAGTGTTCCCCTCTGGCTCCTGTGTTCCCCTCTGGCTCCCTTTGTCCAATCTCTGCCTGTCCTGTATTTTACATTGCTTTCTATAAGTTGACAAATGTTTTGTTTCTTCTAAAGGAAACCAAATCCATGTGAAGGTTCAGCCTTCCTGGATAACAGCTATAACCTGGGCAGATGTTCAAACGCCACTTGTAAGCAAAAGCAATAACAAACAAGCGGAGTTTCTATTAGTGGGTCGGCTGGATGGATCAATTGGCTGCATCGAAGTTACAGAAGTATCCGTTTCTGATCCAATTGACCTCATGCATTGTCAGAGGAAAGATGGTATGTTCAAATAATAGCAACTTCTACCTACATTGCTATTCAGGGAAGTGATACACACATATTTCAATAAAATCCTGCACATTGTTTGCAGTCACAAAAGCTTTGCAATTATCATCAAATATTTTCTGATTCTATCTTGTTTGTCGGGTGTTACAAGACCTCCACCCTAGCTTGCTCTTCCCACAAACTTTACTTTTCAGTTGAGATTCATCCTATCCTTTTTTACAGGAAATTTATCCTTAATTTCACAGTACAGGGATACTGCCTATATAGCAGTAAAGGAGGAAAGGGTTGGGTAGCAAGATTGGTTTGGAAAGAAATAGATAATGCAGACACATAAAAACTTGACAGTCCTCCAAAATAGCAATGTCAATTGGTGTGGATAGGATACGTCCTTTTTGATGAAAAAAACGAGGATGAACATTTTGGAAGCCCTAACTGTGGTTTTCCAATCCTCATATGTTGTAAAGATGATTTCAAAGCACTAGAGGTTGTAAATGTTCCACCTCTGTTTGAAAGGGGTTAGAATTGAGCCCAGCAATTGAAGTCCTGTGTAGATTTTTTTTTTGTAATCCAATGGCAGCAAGAACAGTAACCATGTAATACAAATCTAAAGTGATCGACAAAAGTAGACAGTGCTAACAAGTATTTTTTTTTTAACACAACTGTTTGCAATGAATTGGAATACACTATCTGCAAAGTTTATGGAATCAGATTGATTAGTAGCTTTCAAAATGGAATTGGGTAAGGGAAAATCTAGCAGAGCTATGGAGAAAGAGTAGAGAAATGTGTTAAATTTGACAGCTCTGTCAAAGACCTAATGAGCTAAATGGCCTCCATCTGTAGCATGTCATTACAACATTCTTGGACTCTTCATCATGAGTATTGCTATTCTATAAGCTGATATTCAGCATCTCTCTTGCTGCACTTATTTTTAAAAGTATTTAGTTTTTCTGCTACTGTGATCTGTATAGCATCCAGCTACGTGCAAGTATCATGCAAATCCTGCTCTGGTAATTTTGAGAGTTCATTGAATATTTTTAAATTTTCATGTTCCAAACTATTTTTGAGGCATTTAGTGTTTATGCACATATTTTATTCTGCATGATTTAGTGTACAGACAGCATTTTGTAATTTTTTTTTGAATTTTTAATATAATTCTGCAATGTCTGTTTTTTTGTTCCATAATAAAATCTTAAATAAAATAATTTGCTATTTTGCAGTTTAGAATACTATGCACATTTATTCTTCTGTAGAGGTGACTTAGCACATCTGTCCATAAACTGCTGCATGAGTCTATATTTGTTTTACCAATATAAGCCTGCACATTTTCAAAATGGAACTAAAACAGACTGGTGTAACTTTAGTAACCAGTAACTGACTGCATTAATGTCCTGGATACAGACTATTTACGTGGCCTCCCGTCTGCATTGATTTACACTCCAAAAAGTAGGAGAGAATTAATTGTTTCACATTTTCGGTACCATGCTGTCTAAATATTTTGAACTTGGTATTGGATGTTCAAAATATGTGATGAAACAAAAATTGTCTGTTTTTTTTTTTGGAACTGTAAAATCAAGTATCCATTCTGAAGATATTGAATTTCAATTGTTTATCAAATAACTGAGTATAAAATGGTGCCGGTACCTAAGCATTTGCAAAGCTGCTCCCAAACCTACCTAACGTTGCACATATCCAGTTTTGACAGTAATTCAGTATCAGGCTTTATGGGTTTAAATTGTCCAGATCTGTTATGTTATCTTTTGGGGCTGTAATCCACAATAAATGTCTTAATTATTATTCAGTTGCTGTTCAGTGCATTGCTTGGTACAGTGAAGACAAACCCATTGCAGTTGGATACTCCGATGGAAAAATATTACTTGCAGCAAGAGAGCCGCATAATTCAGAAGAATCTGTGATAATTGATTCATTTCAGGTAAGCCATACTTTCCTTAAAACTGTTCACATAAGAACACTATCAAAGTCATTTCAAAATTTCACTTTGACCCTCAAGGTCAGCAGTACCCAGACCCTTGTTTTTAATGTAAACTGTATGTCTATTTTCCTTTTTCACCCTGCTTCTCAATGCTCCCCCTCTAACTCTGTCTGCCACCCTTTGCTCTACGTGAACCTCCTTCCCCAGTTCATCAAGGGCTGCTGCACCTCTAGCTCTTCACTCGTGGATGGACCTATTCACCATCTCTTCCCTCTGCTTCATCACTGACCGTCTCTCACTCATCACCAGGCCTATTACTCCTTCAGCCAACACCTGCCCACCCCCAACTTCCTGGATTCTGTCTGCTGCCCATCTCTGCCGTACACTCCAACCAGAAACCTCTTTCCCCATCCATCACCCACCCCCCCCCAAACTTACAGGATGCTATCTGTCTTCCATCCACCCCACCATGCTAGATTGTTCCTCCACCATGGCCTTTGCTGTACCCCAATCTGTGCTGTGCTGCCTCCTGGTTCACTTTATCTTACTTTGTCCTCTTTCCTTAGCATAAACCAAATATTCTGTTGAAAAAGAGGCGCTGATATACAAAAATTAAGGTTAAGTAGCGTAAGGAAGAAAAATCTTTCATGGGAATAACTTGTAGTTCACTGAGCAGCATGCAATGCCAACAAGCAAACCTAGTTTAAAATTTGGGATATATGGCCAAAAAAGTAGTGATAAATCCCTGCTGCTTGTATAATTCCAGTACAGGTACTACAGCTCAAATACTGTAGGTAAGGAGAGCTTGAAGAGCCTTATATTGTGTATTGAAGAGGTATGTTTAAGACTCCAAGATTGTTGATGCACTCTGCAATCATTCATCCCATCTGAGATGTTTCCACTAGTAGGAGAGACTAGGACCCAAGGGCACAGCCTCAGAGTAAAACCACAACTCTTTAGAACTAAGATGAGGGGGAATTTCTTCAGCCAGACGGTGGTGAATCTGTGGAATTCATTGCTGCAGAAGGCTGTGGACACCAAGTCATTGAATGTATTTAAACAGAGATAGATGGGTCCTTGATTGGTAAGGGGATCAAAGGTTATGGGGAAAAGACATGAAAATGAGGCTGAGGAACATATCGGCCATGATTGAATGGCAGAGCAGTCTCAATAGGCTATGTGGCCTAATTCTGCTCCTGTATCTTAAGGTCTTATCATCCAGGGAGCTTTGGATATATTTGCCCTACCTATGTCTTTCAGGGGGAAATACCTTGACTGTGCCTGAAGTATCATTTTTGAAGTTAACCCATTGTTCGGCTATCATTTTTCCTGCCAGCCTTTGACTCTAATTTATTCAGACCAGCTCAGTTCTTGCCCTATTGAAGTTGGATTTTTCCCAGTTAATTATTCTTACTCTTGATTGTCCAACATCCTTGAACACAGCCAATCTAAATCATGATACAATGATCATTGTCCTCTACTTACACTCGATCCACTTGTTCCACCGCATTCCCAAGAACTTGATTTACCTCTGCCTTCTTTCTGATTTGATGGAACAAAAAAATGCTGGTGAAGTTTTTCCTCAACAGACTCTAGGAACTTCTGCCCCTGTCTACCCATTACATTTCAACTCTCCGAATCTATGCTCAAAGACGTCCATTATAATTACTACTAAATTCCTACACATCTGTAAATTCCTTGCAATTTAGAGATATCCCTTCACTCCACCACTGTAATACTCTCCTTTGTCAGTAATACAACTCCTCCCCCATTTTTTCCTTTCCTGTATTTCCTGAATACCTCATATCCAGACATATTTATTACCTAGACCTGCCCTTTTTTTAAATTAATTTTTGTGGGCTCTGTGTGTCACCGGCTGCCCAGTATTTATTGCCCATCGCTAGCTGCTCTTGAGAAGCTGGTGGTAGTGAGCTGCCTTTTTGAACCACTACAGTCACCTGCTGTGGGTTGACCCACAATGCCTTCAGGAGGGAATCCCAGGATTTTGACCCAGTGACAGTGAAGGAATGGTGATTGGCTTGGAGAACTACTTGAAGGTGATAGTGTTCCCTTGTATCTACTGTCCTTGTCATTCTAGATGGAAGTGGTCTTGGATTTAGAAGGTGCTGTCTGAGGATATTTGAATTTCTGCAGTGCATCTTAGTGGATAATACTCACTGCTGCTACTGAGCATCTGTGCTGAAGGGTTTGGATGCTTATGGATGTGTCAATCAAGCTGGCTGCTTTGTCATGGATGGTGCCAAGCTTCTTGAGTGTTTTTGGAGCTGCATTCATTCAGGCATGTAGGGAGCATTCCATCACACTCCTGACCTATGCCTTTTAGATGATGGACAGGCTCTGGGGGGTCAGGAGGTGAGTTACTTGTCACAGTATTCCTAGTCTCTGACCTGCTCTTGTAGCCACTGTATTTATGTGGTGAGTCCAATGGAGTTTCTGGTCAATCATAACCCCCAGGATGTTGATAATGGGGGATTCAGTGATAGTAACACCATTGAATGTCAAGGTGAGGTGGTTAAATTGTTTCTGATTGGTGATGGTCATTGCCTGGCATTTGTATGGCACAAATGTCACTTGCCACTTGTCAGCCCAAGCCCAGATATTGTCCAGATCTTGTTGCATTTGAACATGAATTACGTCAGTACCTGAGGAGTCGTGAATGGTGCTGAACATCATTGGCAAACATCCCCACTTCTGACCTTATGACAGAGGGAAGGTCATCGACGAAGCAGCTGAAAATGGTTGGGCCTAGAACACTACCCTGAGGATCTCCTGCCGAGATGTCCTGGAGATGAGATGACTGACCTCCAACAACCACGACTGTCATCCTATGTGCCAGGAATGACCCCAACCAGTGGAGAGTTTTCCCATGATAGCCATTGACTCCAGTTCTGCTAGGGTTCCTAGGTACCACACTGTTGAATGCAGCTTTGATGTCAAGGGTTGTCACTGTCATCTCATCTCTGGAATTCAGCTCTTTTGTCCATTTTTGAACCCAGGCTGTAATGAGTTGAGAACCCAAACTGGGCGTCACTGAGCAGGTTATTGCTGAGCAGGTGCTGCTTGATAGCGCTGTTGATGACACCTTCCATCACTTTACTGATGATCGAGAGTAGACTGATGGGGCAATAATTGGCCGAGTTGGATTTATATAGGACGTACCTGGGTAATTTTCCACTTTGTCAGGTGGATACCAGTGTTGTAACTGTACTGCAACAGCTAAGGGACCAGCAAGTTCTGAAGCACAAGTCTTTAGTACTATTGCCGGAAAGTTGTCAGGGCCCATAGCCTTTGCTGTATCCAGTGTCTCCAACCATTTCTTCATGTTTGGTATCTGTAATAATGGGACCACTGGAGGATCATCCACTCGGCACTTCTGGCTGAAAATTGCTGTGAATGCTTCAGCCTTGTCTTTTGCACTATGTCTGGACTGTTCCATCGTCGAGGATGAGGATGTTTGTGGAGCCTCCTCCTCCTCCAGTGTGTTGTTTAATTGTCCACCACCATTCACGACTGGATGTGGCAGGACTGCAGAGCTTGGGTCTGATCTGTTGGTTGTGGGATCACTTAGCTCTATCACTTGCTGCTTATGCTGTTCGGTATGCAAGTAGCCCTGTTTGGTAGCTTCACCAGGTTGACACCACATTTTTCAGGTTGTGCCTGGTGCTGCACCTGGCATGCCCTCCTGCACTCTCCATTAAATCAGGACTGATCCCCTGGCTTGATGGTAATGGTTGAGTGAGGGTATGCCGGGCCGTGAGGTTACACATTGTGCCGGAGTGCAATTCTGCTGCTGTTGATGGCCCACAGTGCCTCATGGATGCTAAGTCTTGAGTTGCTAGATCTGTGCGAAGTCTGTCCCATTTAGCACTGTGATAGTGCCACACAACACAATGGAGGTTATTCTCAATGTGAGGGCAGGACTTTGCCTCCATAAGTACTGTGCTGTAGTTACTCTTACCATGGACAGATACGTCTTCAACCAGCAATTTGGTAATGTTATGGACCAGATCAAACCCCTTCCAAATATGTTAAAGAAGATAGTGTAGACCCCAACGTTTTCTTATTTTTAAAGGCAAGTTTAAGGCATTATAATCCAGATACAATTTGATTGGTCAAACTATCAGGCTTGAAGCAAAACACTTTGAATTTTAACTGTAGCGTAAAAATAAACAAAAGAGGGAAGAATCGGAAAGAAGAATTGAACTTACCTCTATTGGCAACTGTTCTAAACACACCCTTGGCAAAGGTAAATTCAATGAAATAGATTATCTCACATGCAATTCTAGCAGCAGGAAGAGAACCCAAGCATTTACCTGTAACAAAGAGGAATAACAACTTCCATATCGAACTTCCAGACCCCAGCAACAACTGACAGATAAAACTAAAGTCCTGGTTCTCTGGGAGTGTGACCCCACACCTTCATGCTGCTTCTTTTGTTCCAACTTTGGAAAATAAAACAAAGCTAGCTGGGCTCAGAGCAGACAGCTCAGCTTCACATTTACAACATTTGCTTTAAAAAAAATGACAGGACAAATCCTTCTTCAAGGCATATCTCATAACAGTAAGGAGGAGGTATGTTTTTCCCTCTTGTTGGTTCCCTCACCACTTGCTGCAGACCCATTCTATTAGCTCTGTCTTTTAGGACCCAACCAGCTCAATCATAAGTACTGCTCCTGAGCCACAACAGAGCCTTTGCCATCCTCAGTGTTTCCTCCAAGTGTTGTCCAACATGGAGGAGTATGAATTCATCAGCCACAGGAGGACAATACATGGTAATCAGCAGGAGGTTTCCTTGTCCATGTTTAACCTGAAGCCATGTTGAGGACTCCCAGGACAGTCCCTCCTGAATATATACCACTGTGCCACCACCTCTGCTGGGTCTGCCCTGTTGGTGCGGCAGGACGTATCCAGAGATGGTGGTGATGGTGTCTGGGATACTGTGTGTAAGGTATAATTCTGTGAGTATGACTATGTCAGGCTGTTGCTTGACTAGTCTGTGAGACAACTCTCCCAATTTTAGCACTCGCCCCCAGACGTTAGTAAGGACAACTTTGAAGGGTCGACAGGGCTGTTTCTGCCGTTGTCTTTTCCAGCGCCTAGGTTGATGCCAAGTTCTCTGTCGGTTTTATATCTTTGAGACTTTATAGCGATTGGTACAACTGAGTGGCTACTCAGCCATTTCAGAGGGCAATTGAGAGTCAACTACATTGCAGTGGGTCTGGAATCATGTGCAGGCCAGGTAAGGATGCAGATTTCCTTCCCTGAAGGACATTAGTAAACCAGATGAATTTTTCTGACAATTGACAATGGTTTCATGGTCATCAGTAGATTCTTAATTCCAGATAATTTTTTAACTTCAAATTCTACCATCTACCATGGTGGAATTTGAACCCGGATCCCCAGAACATTAGCTGAGTTTTTAAATTAATATACTAGCAATAATACCGCTGGACCAAGACCTTCCCAGTTTTCCCCTTCCTTCAGCTAGGTTTCCGTAATAGCCATAGCATCATATTCCATTTGGCAATTTGCTGCTACACTTCCAACAATCCTATTAACCTACTCTCTCATATACTGCAGATTAACTCTGATTTAGACTTTAATACTTTCTCCCTTACTCGAACACAAACTAATAACTAACTTTTCCCTTCCCTCGTGCTATCACTCGCTGTATTTGTGCACCCTGGTATTCCTCCCTGATATTTCCCTCTTGCTCCCACACCACTACCAAATTGGTTTAGCCCTCCCTAATAGTATTAGCAAACCATCCAGTAAGGAATTCCTTCCAGCTCTGTTCAGGTGCAACCTGTTCAGCCTAACCAAATCCCACCTTCCCCAGAGCCAATCTCAATGTCTCATGAATGTAAATCTCTACCTCCTACACTATTTTTCTCACCACACGTTCATTTATTTTAGCCTCCAATTTTTAAACATATTTATTGGTGGTAATGTGAGTAATCTGGAGAGTGCTGCTTTCGAGGTCCTGCTTGTTAGTTTCTCCATAAATTCTGACTGCAGGGCCACATTCTTCTATATCATTTGTACCAATGTGTACCACAGCCACTGCCTGTTCACTCCCTGCAGATTGCTTTGCAGGCATTTAATTACATCCTCAAATCTGTCCTGGATTCACATCTGCAGACACAGAAGTGCCTGTCTATTCCACCTCCCAATTACCCAGTGCAGTTGCTCTTCCGTTATTCCTTTTAACACCCTGTGCAGCCAAGCCACCCATGGTGCCATACACTCTGACTTTATTTCCAGATGAACCATCAACGGTGTTCTCTCTAATTTGTGTTTTCTGTTGCGTGGTCCCATGAAGTCCGTGCATGGCAGCGACTTAAAAAAGCACAGGCCGTTTGCATTGGTATGCCAGTCAGAATGGCAGAGCTTTCCAGTAGCTGCATGGCCATACAGCTTAGAGCAAACATTCCTGATCAGTGTTCAGAGCTGAATGTTGGTTGAATTGTGGGTGTGCTTGGAGGCCTATACTAACTGTCGGGTTCTACTTCACTAGTATGAACTTTACTACTGTTATGCATTGCTACTATTACAATGAACACAATCAATTGAATAATTTAATACTGAACAGTTCTGTTTCACAAAGATTTGCATTTGTGTTATCACATCACAAAGCATATCACATACTGTGAATTATTAGAAGTGCAGTTAATGTTAGAGACAAATGTGACACTGTTCAGCTGTGATCTCACCAGTCCATAGAAAATATGTTAATGTTAATGGCATTTTGTATATAGGTTTGTATTTTTCATAAAACACATGTTAGTAACAAATGTTTTTTAATTTTATGCCAATTTAAATATTGTGGTGTCTTGAAGTTAATGCCTTCCTTGTAAATTGTGACTTTAAATTTAATGGAGCATTGATGATTATTGAGGTTTTTCTCATCTGTGGGATTCTGAATACCTCATAGTGCTGCACAAATACAGTGGGTATTGTTACTGTGTAACTGTATCACATAATGCAGGAGTTAGGGAGAATTTAAAAAGAGCTCCTGAAACCCAAAATATAGCCCCTGCAAATTAAAGAGTGGCCCTCCAGAAAATCTCAGAAGAACTTGAGGTGAGCGGGGATAATAAATATGTTGATCCTATTCCCTAGGTCACCTACATCTGATGTGTGTTATTTTTTTAAATATTTCCTGCATTTCATTTGCCTCCATAATTAGACTTGTGTTTCCTGCCTGAGCGATTAATTATTTTCATTCAACAATGCTTATTAAAACTCTTAATATTTCATAGAGTCACACAGCATAGGAACAGGCCCTTCAGCCCACCATGTCTAAGATGATCAACAATCACAAAACTGCACTAATTTCATTGACCTGCACTTAGCCCATAACCTACCATGTCCTGGCACTTTAAGTACTCAATAAGCTGCTGCTTAAATGTTGCAAAAGTGCCTGCCTCCACCACCATCTCAGGCAGCACATTCAATATTTCTACATCTTGTGGGTTAAAAAAAATTCTCAGATCTGCTGTAACCCACTTACTCCTCATCTTAAATTTATACCCTCTGGTCTGAGACACATCTACCATGGGAAAAAGATTCTCATGATATACTCTGTCTGTGCCTGTCATCATTTTGTATACCTCAATCAGATCCCCACCCAACCCTCCGTCAGCCTCCTCTGCTCCAAAGTAATCAAACCCAGCCTATCCAATCTCTCCTCACAGCTGAGACTTTTCATCTCAGGTGATATCCTGGTGAATCTCCCCTGCACCCTGTCTGGTGCAATAATGTCCTTCCTATAGTGACGCAACCAAAACTGTGCACGCCTTATGCCATTTGTGGCGTAACCAATGTTTTATAAAGACGTAACAAGGCTTCCTTGCCCCAACTAATAAAGGCAAGCATCCTATATGCCACCTTCACCACCCTCTCTACCGTTGCTGACACCTTCAGGAATCTATGAACTTGTACACAAAAGACCCTTTGTTCCTTAGCACTGCCTAGGGACATACCACTCATTGTGTACGTCCTTTCCTCTTGGAGGAACATTCTGGCCCTGAATTCTCACTGTACTATGTTTAAAAGATTCCCATTTACCAAATGTAGACTTACTTGCAAGTAACTGCTCTCCCAGTCACATGTTTGCCAGATCCTGTCTAATGATATTGAAATTTAGTCACTTAACTTCTGCACTATCCTTATTCCTTTCTACAATGACTTTGAAACTTAGAGTTATGGTCACCACTGAAACTTCAAACAGTTGACTGGATACATTCGTTAAGATTAGGACTAGCTTTGCCTCCTCTCTACTAAGTACTTGCACAAAAAGCTTTCCTGGATACACTTGAATAATTCCACATTATCTAATCCTTTCACACGAAGGCAGTCCTCATTAATGCTAGCAGTCTTAAAATCCCTACCAATATAACCCTGTTTCTCTGTCACCTTTCTGTAATTTGCCTACGTAGCAGCTCCTGTATCTCCCTCTGACTGATGGGAAGCCTGCAGTATAATCCCAGCATACCTATCATACCATCTGCTTATGTTGTTTCATATTCCTTTTCATCTCCCTAACATACCTCCTTTATTTCTCCTGATTTATTCAGTATTATTCAGCGTCATTATGTCATCTGCATCATTTTAACTTTAGTCTTAAACTCTCTTTATCCAGCGCATTGTATATTTTGTTCAACCCCTCACCTTTACTGATTCATAGGAATTAATCTATTTTTCTATCTTGAACTCATAGATTTCCCATTACTGTTCTTTTATCCTGTTTGCTAATTCCAACTAGTTACATTGAATTTTCTTTGAACTGCCCTGTCCAGTAGACCTTTATTGTTAAATGTGCATCAATATTGTCTCCTCATTGAATCCAGTTATGCTGTGGCTACTGTTTCCCAGTTGCTTTCCTATTTCTTAATTATTTGCCCCAGCACATTTCCCAGAATTAAATCAAGAAAGAGCTCCTTCCATGTTGGCATAGAAACACGCAAACAGAAGTTCATGTATTTGTGAAATGAAGTATCCACAGAAGTACATAGTGTAAAATTTAAGGGTGACAGGGGGAGTAGCCTCAACATTTAAACATTTAAATCTACACTTGTGACACCAAGGCAGAGTTGGGTATGGCCAAGTGCTGGAAAATGGGATTAGAATAGTTAGGTGGGTTTTTTTGACTGACACTGACTCAATAAGCTGAAAGGCCTTTTACTGTGCTGTAGAATCTTTGACTCTTATTGGGTAAGTGTTTGAGGAAATGGAGTACTGTGAGATGAGAGATTTTAAGACTAACGACAAAAACTGAAGTATTTCCAGGTTCTTTGGTTTCCTGAGATTCAGTTGTAATGTTCCATTTAACACTGAATGCCTGTTACTCAATTTACTCTCTTTTAAATATTCTCATTTTCATCAAGGAAAGTTTAACTTGCCTAAAATGGGACCCAACTGGACACCTGCTGCTTGCTGTTGCCAGAGAAGAGATGGTGAAAATCTGGGGAAGAGTAGGCAGTGCTTGGCTTGCAGTCCAAACTCTGTTCCATTCAGCACTGGTTAATACTTCAGCATGGTGTTCACTTCCAGGGAAAGGTCAGGATCCAAGGCTAATGCTTGCAGTGTAAGTATTAAAGGAAACAAAAATGTATTTGTCTGATGTGTCATTTTTGTTTTAAAACCAGAAGTTAAAATGCATCTTTAAAAAGTCATGGGCTGGATTTTGCCTTCCCTGTCATTAGGTTTGAAGGCTGGGGCCAAGTAAAATCTAGTAGGTGACCTTCTCACCTCCCACATCTGTCTATTGTTTTATAGGAGATGAGCCACTTAAAAATCTCATTGCTTTTTATTCATCCACGAAATGTGGCCATAACCGGCTAAGCCAGCATTTATTATTCATCCCTAATGCCCTTGAGAATGTGGTGGCAAGCAGTTTTTCTTGAACCACTGTAATCCATGGTAGGTGGGTACAAGCATGGAGCTATTAGAAATGGATTTCCAGGATTTTCATCCATCGACAGTGGAGAAGTGACCATATAGTTCCTAGTCAGGGTGGTCTGTGGCTTGGAAGGGAACTAACAGGTGGTTATGGGGGAAGCCGAGAAGTATTTACTGAAAGGACTCGTGTCAAGCAACATAGATCACCCTTTGTCAGACCCCTTTAACCTGGTTTCCTGTCCCGCTTGCCTTGCTGACAGGCCTGTCCTTGGACTTGCCTTGGGCTCCTTGGCATGGTGGGACTGCCTGTAGTCTCAGCAGTGGCCTCTGCTTGTGCTGACACTGTACGAAATACAGAGCTGCGACCAGCCAAGTGGCTGGCAGCTGTCTAAGGCAAGCTGTCTAACTGAGACAGGGACAGAAAATTCACCTTAAAGAATGCTGCTCCTGAATGCTACTGCAGAATGCAATGGGAAGCCATTGGACGTATGCATGGACTCCCCTGTGACTACCGGGAATGGTGCCTAGCCCCAGAGATGAAACATTTGTTATATTGGATTAATAGGTCAGAAGGCTCTCTAAGACCTTTCATGTGGTCACAGTTTTGAAAATTAATTCTGTAAATAATTAGTGTTCTCCAGCGATCTGTGCTGGCAGCTCAGCTTCTTGCCATTAGATACATGTGACTTGGATGAATGAATAGAGGGTAGTTTTAACAACTTTCTAGGTTACGTTACACATGGTAACGTTGTACTTGTGTAGCTCAAAACAGTGAGTTTCTAAGAGGCATAAGCAAACTAAGCTGCAAAACTAAAGATCTACTTTAGATCCAAGGAAGACAGATGAGAACATTCTTTTAATTATTGGAGACAAGGAGCTAATGAAAAACAAAAGCAATTTGGGTAACTGTGTACACAATCACAATTATCAAAAGAAAGCAAAGGCCTGATAGAATATTGACATTCATCTCAAGAGGACTGAAAAACAAAGTAGAGGGAAATCGTGCTTGAGCTGTACAAAACCTTGGCCTTTTGGCCTGGCAGGAAAACCCGAGACAAGAGTACATAGCCTTAAAAATAGAACTGGGCCATCCGGGAATGAAATTATGAATCACCTTTTCACACAGAGGAATGGTTTTCTGGAAGACTGTTCCCTCTGAAAGATGCTGAACTGAAATTTTCAAAGGTCGATAGATTTTCTTTTAGTAAGGGTAAAGGCAAAGATGTGGTAGTTGAGGTAAATGAACCATGATCTGACAGAATTCTACAGTTTATATTTCACTTTTTTTTTGCAGGATATGTTTTGTAATACAATAGAATACAATTCAGCATCGGAACAGGCTCCTTTGGCCCACCAAGTTTGCATCAAATCCTAATCCTTATTTAGACGTGCGACTTAGTGCAGATTCACTTCACGTTCATGTGTCTATCAAGATTCACCTTAAACACTGCTAACATTGCTTTCACTACCTCCACTGGCAGTGTGTTCCAGGCACCCACCACCTTCTGTGTAAAATTTGCACATATTAGTGATGTCAGCACATCTCAATGGATTCTGGTGCTTCTCAACAGGTTTTGACTGTTCATGTCAGATCTACGATTTCCTGACTTTCTGTTCCACTTTTTGACAAGTCCTGCTTGACTGGTCTTGACACTTCATGATGGGTCTTCATCATAGAATTCCTACAGTGTGGAAGCAGGCCATTTGGCCCAATGAGTCCACACCACCCCTCTGAAGAGCGTCCTACCCACACCCCTATCCTATCCCTGTAAGCCTGCATTTCCTATGGCTAATCCACCTAGCCACACATCCCTAGACACCATGGGCAATTTAGCATGGCCAGTCCACCTAACCTGCACATCTTTGGACTGTGGGAGGAAACTAGAGCACCTGGAGGAAAGCCACGCAGACACTGGGAGAATGTGCAACTCCATGCAGACAGTCACCCGAGGGTAGAATTGAACCCGGGTCCCTCATACTGTGAGGCAGCAGTGCTGACCACTGAGCCATCATGCTGCCTGTCTTGACATGTTTCTTTCTGTTTTGATAATTGCAGTAGGAGTTGGGGTGGGTGGCAGAGGAACTGTCTACCAGGTGGAGTTATTCCTGACACAAAGGAAAATGGTAGTGATTGTTGGTTATCCTCAGCTCCAGGACACCTTTGCAGGAGTTCCTCAGGGTAAAGTCCTTAGCCCAACCATCTTCAGCTGCTTCATGAATAACGTTCCTTCTGTCATAAGGTCAGAAGTGGGAATTTTCGCTGATCATTGCACAATTTTCAGCACCATTTACAACTCAGACACTGAGACAGTCCAAGGACAAATGCAGCAAGACCTGGCCAACATCCTGAAGTGGACTGAAAAGTGGCTAGTCACATTCAAGAACATAAAAACAAGGAGCAGGAGTAGGAAATTCGGCCCCTCAAGCCTGCTTCGCCATTTAGTTCAATCATGGCTGATCTCCTTTCAGCATCAACTCCACCTTCCATAACCCTTCAACTTGTTACTACTAAAAGATCTGTGTCTCTCCTCAAATTTACTCAATGTCTTGGAATAGTGAATTCCACAGTAATTCCTCCTCATCTGTGTTTTAAATCTGTTACCTCTCACCATAAAACAATGACCCCTTGTTCTAGATTGCCCCACAAGAAGAAACGTCCTCTCTAAGTCTACTCTGTCAATACCCTTTAGCATGTTATATACCTCGATTTGATCTCCTCTCATTCTTGTTAGGTATAGACCTAAACTGCTTAATGTCTCTTCACAAGAAAACCCCTCATTGACTGGAATCAAACTAGTGAACTTCCTCAGAGCTGCCTCCAAACCACCTGCATCCCTCCTCAACTAAGAGAGCCAAAACTGCATGCAGCACTCCAGGTGCCGTCTCACTAATGCCTCACACAGTTGCAGCAACACTTCCCTACTTTTATACTGTATTTCTTTAGCAATAAATGCCAAAATTCCATTTAAAAACCGAAAGAACTGCGGATGCTGTAAATCAGGAACAAAAACAAAGTTGCTGGAAAAGCTCAGCAGGTCTGGCAGCATCTGTGAAGGAAAAAACAGAGTTAACGTTTTGGGTCCGGTGACCCTTCCTCAGAACCCAATTAATTCATTAGCATTAATTCTGATTTTTCTTCACAGATGCTGCCAGACCTGCCAAAATTCCATTTGCCTTTACCTGCTGTACATACTTGTTAGTTTTCTGCAATTCATTCACAAGGACACCCTCTGCACCAAAGTGCACTCATTTTCTAAGCAGAGAGAAACATAAGTAACCTTTCTATTCTTCTGACCAAAATGGATAATCTCATGCTTATCAACATTAAACTCCATCTGCCAAATTCTTGCCCATTCACCTGGCCTATCCATATCCATTTGTAAAATTCTTATTTCTTTAGTTACTTTCTCACCAATTCCAGTGTCATCTGCAAATCCCAGTCATTAATTGAGATTGTAAACAGTTGGGGCTGGAGGACCAAGCCCTGTGGCATCCCACTAGATACATCTTGCCAACCAGAAAAAGATATTTTTATCCCTACTTCCTGCCTCCCTGCTATGTTATATAAGGATTTTATATTAGTATTTTTCCAATCTACTGGAACCTTTCCTCTTTGGGGCATTCTGGAATATTATAGACAGTGGATTCATTATCTCTGCTGCCACTTCCTTTAAGACCCTAGGACATGGGCCATCAGGTCCAGGGTACTTGACTGCCTGCAGCAGGTTTGAAGGGCCGAATGGCCTCTTTCAGCTCCTATCTTCTATGTTTCTATGTTTCAATCCCAATAGTAGCTCTCTACTTTTTCCCTTGTGGTGATTATTGTTCTCTTTTAACTTCATGTCACACAAGTACCAGGCAATGAATCTCTCCAAAAGTGAGAATCTAACCATCACTCATTGACATTAGTGGCATTACCAATACTAAATCCTCATTGTCAATACCCTAGGGTTACCATTGACCAAAAACTAGCCAAATAAATGCAGTGGCTACAAGAGCAGTATAGAGGTTAGAAATTCTGCAGCGCATAACTCACCACCTGACTCCCCAAGTTAGGAATATGAAGAAATGCTCCTACCTGACTAGCTGGGTGCAGCTTCAGAAACAGTCGAAGCTTGACACCATGCAAGACAAAGCAGCCTGTTTGATTGACACTGCATTCTGAAACATTCACTCTCTCCACCACCAATTGTCTGTAGTAACAGTGTGTGCGAAAAGTTCAACAAGGCTCCTTGGACAGCATCTTCCAAATGTGTGAGCACGACCATCTAGAGCAGCAAACACGTGAATACCATCACATGGAAGTTCCCCTTCAAGCCTCTCATCATCCTGATTTGGAAATATATTGCCATTTGTTTCATGTTGCTGGGTCAAAATGCTGGAATTCCCTCCCTAATTGCATTGTGGATCTACCTACAACAAACCATTTGCAACAGTTCAAGGAGACAGCCTGGGTTCAAGTACCACCTGCTTCAGAGATGTGTGATACTATCTCTGAAGCAGGTTGATTAGACAAATAGGTTGAATTTTTTAAAAATAGTTTACGCACCTTTTTTGCTTACAATCCTCCTATTAACAATTCCAAAGAGTGCCTAATTCCTACCAAAGGGTATCTGAACCTCCTCCCAATAGGTAACTGACACCTCCCTTCCCCAGAGAATGCATGACCTCCAATCCAAGGTGTCACCAGGCCACATCCACAGCAGTACCATGGCTCTCCAAGGGATGCCCTAGCTATCCAAAAGAAATGCACTGAACAAACCTGGAGCAAGCTAGTCTGTCCTGCGCCCTCTCTCTTGCTCACAATGGGTTTCCTAACGTGGGATGTGAATAGACGGAGCTGATCATTTAAATGCATGTGTGTGAAGCCCAAGTCTGGGAAAGTGGGAAGTGCTGTGTTCAGGAGGGGGACGTGCATTTTCAGCCACCATTTTCACAAGCTTTCAACTCCGTACATGCTCAAAGCGTCTGCCAGGCAAGTCCTTCTCGCCATCAGCCAACTTACAGTTTGCTGCTTGTTTGACAACTCTGGTCATGTGATATTCTGCCCAGTGCTTTGACCGTCTGCTGAGGGAGCCATCTGAAAGCATCTGCCATCTCCTTTTTCCACAGAGCTTCATGAACCATATATGCACACCATAGCCAGATAGACTTCTGTTCACAAGTGTTTATCTGCACAGACTTGCACAAATGATAAGTTTCATTAGTATAAGTATCACTTGTCTACAAAATTTTGCTTTTGCAGACGCTATAGGATTCCCACCGCCCCCCCCGCCACCCACACACACAGCCAAGGAAGGTGGAGGTTTTGCTAATTATCTTGATTTTTTTAATGATAGAGTTCATTTTAATTATTATCAGAAAATAAAACTTGACTGTTTTCCTCCCAGGGGTTGTCAAAATGGCTTAGTTTATGTTTGGACACTACCACAAGGTGGTACTGCTGTATCATTACCAAACCTCTTGCATTCTCCTGATATACAAGAAAGACATGAGGTAAGAGGCATGGTTTTTTTTTTCATTTGTGTCAGCAGCTAATATGAAAAAGTTCATGGAAAATAAGGCTGACTTACCATCTCAACTTTGAATTATCCTTAGAAACAAAGCGGCAATTGAGTAATTAAACTTGAAATTGCATGTTAAATAAAGATCTAAAAGAGCAACTTATGTTTGTGTGGTACATTTCAAGGCCACATTTCTTAAAGCACTTCACAGCTAATTAATCACTTTTGAAATGTCACTGCTGTAATTTGGGAGGCATGGCAGCCAACTTTCACACATCAACTTCTTACAAGCAATGTGGCTATGACCCAATCCTCTCATTTTGTCATTTGATTGAGAGATGCATATTAGCCGAGGAACTGAGGGTAATTCCTCTACACTTCTTCATGGGATCTTTTAGATCCACCTGACAGGGCAGATGACCTTAACTGAAGGACAGCACATCTGACAGAGCAGCACACACTCTCTACTATTCTAAGCAGTCGGACTTGATTTTTCTGCTCGTCCTGGAGTGGGATTAGAATCCCACCTCTCACTCAGAGGCAAGAGTGCCACCGATTGAGCCACAATTGACATCTCGTCTGAGCGCATTGCATCCATGTTGATTTATTTCATCTGATTAAAGACAATAATTCTTTATGGCAAGAATTACTTCCTAACCTAAACTTTTTATTTGGTAGGAGAAATTTCAATTCAGAGGTAGAGCCAAGTGTGTGTTTCGACTGAACGCTCATATAACTGCAGTGATGTTGGTGTCCTTCAATACTGATGGTTTAACACTTCTGTCTGGAGGGATTGGGGGATTGATAAATATCTGGTCTTTGCAGGTAAGAATTTTAATGATATTCCATAAATTAATATTCTGATGCTCATACTACAAAGGAGAAGTGATAAGGATTAGGAAAACTTAAGGAAGTGAGAAACAAAATGTTATCCCTGACAAAAATTGAAACTTTGTTTTTAAAGACAATTTTATGTCCTCTTATAAAGTGACTAATCAGATTTATTCATCATATCTTGTCAAAAGTTCTTGGGAAATCGAAACCAGAAAGGCAGAGCGCTTTTAAAATTTGACAGCCTCTCTTGTTATTTCTGAAATTTCACAATTGAAAGAAACTTTGTATTTCCCAATTCTTATTGAATTGAACAAGTAGATTGTTACAAATTAATGTTTGTGGCTGTGTTTTGTATGTTTCCTTCTCAGGATGGTTCAGTTCTACAGACAGTGGTGACTGGTTTGGGATCAGTAGTTGGCGTATCCTGGATTCCAGATATTGGAGTAGCAGCTTGCTCCAGCCGATCAAAGGTCAGTTGGTCATTCTTGTTTTAAAAAAGACTAATGACATCTCAATCTAAAACTTCATATTAATGCCAAAAGGAAGGAGCTTGCATGTATCACCACTTTCTCAGAACCAGCCAAATCTAATAAAGTTTTTTTATGTAGTCATCGTTAAGTAACAAGGCACTGATTATCACACAACCAAATCCCACAAACGGCATTAAAATGAAAATATGACGAGGTAATCTGTTGCAGTAATGTGGATTGAGAAATAAATTTTGGCCAGGACACTAAGATAATCCCTGCTGTACTTGATAGAGTACTGCGGGGTTAGTCATAAAGTCATAGAGACCTACAGAATTGAAAAAGCCCCTTTTGACCCATCAAGTCTGTACCAGTCACAAACAAGCATCTAACTAATCTAATCCCATTTTCCAGAACTTGGCCAATAGCCTTATATGCCCTGGAATCTCAAAGATTGTATATATCCCCTTATTTAGCAACTGAAAGATAGCACAACATTCACTCAGCTCTAGATTGATTAGCCTAAATTATGTGCTTAAGTCTCCAAAATGAGAATTGAACCCATCACTTTATAATACAGAGTTGAATGCTATTACTAAGCTGGATGTTTTCAAATCTGCTTGTGTATTGGATGGAAACAGGAATGGGCAATTTAGCCCTTTGACCCCTTTGCACCATTGATGGGATTATGTGCAACCTAACTTCATCTACCCTTCTGTGCCCCTACCATTTTTTTGCATTAATTCATGAGATTTATCATTGACAAGACCGTCATTTGCTGCCCACTCCTAATTGCCTTTGAGAAGGTCAGAAGTCACACAACACCAGGTTATAGACCAACAGGTTTATTTGAACTCAAGCTTTCTGAGTGCTACTCCTTCTATGGGCGAAGTGCTGGCAAAGGAGCAGCGCTTCGAAAACTTGTGATATCAAATAAACCTGTTGGACTATAACCTGGTACTGTGTGACTTATGACTTTGTCCACCCCAGTCCAACACCGGCACCTCCACCTCATGGCTGTCCTTGAGAAGGTGGTGGTGACTGCCTTCTTAAATTATAAACACTTCTAATGTGCTGTTAGAAAGGTTGTTCTAGGATTTTGAGCCAGAGACTGAGAAAGAGCAGCAATATATTTTCTAGTCTGGGGAGCTGTCAGGTATTGGTGATCCATGCATCTGCTGCCCTGGTCATGGGTTTAGAAGCAGCCTTGGCAAGTTGCTACCACGCATCTTGTAGATGATTAACTTGCAACTATTGTGCATCAATGTTAGAGTGAATGAAAGCTCAGTTTTTGATCATATCAGTAAATACCTTTGGATAATGAAAATATATTAAACTTATTAAAAATTTACAACTAATCAAGCTTCAGTCGCTTTTGCTACAAGATGGTTTCAGATTTCTACCTCCTTTTGTGCATACTTGACCTGAAAGGTCTGCTCCTAATTTTTAGCAAGAAATGCTGGGAGCAATCATAGGTTTTCCAGTTTCTCCACAGAATTGAAGTCCCTAATCCTTGGAATCCAGTTTCCTTTCCAAGGATTTCACCTCTTTCCATCAGAATTGAGGCCAGATTTTCTTCAGAGTTTGGTGAAGATCAAAAGAGAAACTTTTTTTAAAAAAAAAAGTGAACAGAGATCTTTTTAGTACAGAAAGGAAAAGATAACAAAGACAGATGAGAATGAGAAGGGTGAGTGAATTTGTGATACAGTGATAGCGAACATCCAGTTAGTCTTGAGCTGGAAAGGCAAAAAAATTCAGGAGTAATTATTTAAATTACTATGAGAGGAAGAGGAAAAGATAATGTTAGAAGTTGAGTATTAGGATATAAATTGTTGATTGATTGATGCTTCTGTTGAGAAGAGGAAAGAAAGAGAGACTGAGAAAGGGAGATTCAGAAGTATCCTTTAGTGTGGAAAACTGGTAAATGTTTGGTTGGTAATCCCTGACCTCATTTGGTGGGGGAGGCACAGAGAAAAATTCTAAAATAGTCCACTACTGCAGAGATCCATGAACAACGCAAAAATAAAGGTTTATTTCAATATATGTTTTGTAATATGCGATTGATCAAGTCAAGAACATGAGTTATGTTGATATTCACTCAAGAAAGCCTGTTTTTTTTTTTTGGAAAGTATGTTAAATTTTCTGAATATATTTCCCCTTCTGCTAGGATGTCCTCTTAATCAGGTGTTGCCCAGAGTGGATCTCTCAGAACCACATTCTAGCATCCTGCCGAATGGCTCTCCGAACACAGGGTATCATAGGACTGAATAAGGCTCCCTGTATGAAGGCTTTTATCGAAAGATTGCATTTACTGCTGCGCGCACAATATATATATGAAAAGGTAATGCATATACACAATTTGGCATAAACAAACATGTGATGTGTTAGCCTGATCTATCATGGAAAGGCTGAGAGAATTGTGTTGGCTTAAGCTGAAATAAAGGGTATGTGGGGTCATTGGGAGTGATGAGGAGGTGTGAGGTCTAAGAGCTAATTAACAACATCCAGAAAGATGATTAACTAGCCAGTACCTCAGCACCCACCCTACAGCTGTGACTTTTCTAGGGGTGGTGGGCCCAACTCTTTCCCACATTCATCCCCCTAAAGTGAAAACAGCATAATGCAAGTTTCTCAAAGCAAGTTGGGACTACCAAGTTTGGAAATTTCCCAATTTGAACAACCTATCTTAGCGGTGGAAATTTCACCTATAATCGTTGCCGTATAGCCGATCAAGGTTAAATAATATGGACTGAGTTTAAATAAAATTCTGATTTTCACATAGGTAATGACGGAGCAGTTTTGTGGTTTTATCTTTAAAGTTTTAGTTGAAATTTACTTCTATAAGTTCATAAATCAACAAAAGTGCAAATTGTGTATGATCAATTTGGAAGTAGTAAATTGAAAGAGACATCTACACATTCTCTACTTACCCCTGCTTACTTCAGAATGTCTTGAAAAAGACAAAATAAAACTTGCTGACCTAAATCTGAGATTCTTACCACCTTTGGTTGAATGGTCCAATTTATTTTTCTCATCATTAATATAGTCATAACAGAATAACTATATTCTGCAATAATTTGACACCATGAAGAGTGGTAATCTCTCAGGCTTGAAAAATTGCAGTGTTCTTCCAAAAGTTCAATATTACATAAATATGGATCTTTCAGAAAATGTACGGGTTAACTATTCAAGAATAAATCTGTAGGAATAGTATCTATAGAATTCATGTGTTTTTAAATTGTCACTTTCCAGCCCCATGTGACCTGTGGAGATCAACTCGTACACAGTACCTTCCTGCAAAGTTTGGCCTCCCTCACTGTAGGTCTATGTTTGGACCAGTTCCTTACCAGAACAGCAGAACCACCTCATCATAAAAACAGTAACCTGGAGCCAGTTTCTTCAGAATGGAGTTGGCTAGCAACTTACTCTGCTACTATTAAAAGTGCTGAAGCTCTGGCCAAAGGAACTGCCTTCCCGGAAACCTTCAGTGTTCCAGACCTCAACCAGGATTCAGATTCAGAAGCCATCAAAGCACTGGTAGGATTTTACTTTTATGTCTATGCGCTAAGTTTGAATATTCAATTCCTTGCTGTCCAAAGCAGCCTTGTTGTCAGCCCATCTTTGATCACTGGTGGATAGTTGTTTACGTAACCACCTTGACTAAGAATTACCAAAATGAGCCATCACGTTTGTGCCCATATTCTGTTGACCATACTAATTTTTGAAATTCAGGCACTGGTGGCAAGGTTGAAGACATTTATAACTTATGCCCCCTAGTTAACCCAAGAACGTGATAGTGGGCTACCAGCTTTAATTGTTTAGTAACATTTCAATGTTTCAGTTCTGTTTCCATGGCTTATGTTTCCCAATGATATGCAAATATATTTGTTTAGCTGTATGAAGTAGAGGTAAATAGTTTACACATCATAAACAAGAGTTTATAAATATTTTGCGTAAAAGAACTTCATATTAAATTAACCATTTTTCAAGCCTTCACTGTTGTTAGATAGACCTACACAACTATCCTTTTAATAAGAACAGGATAAGTTGAAAATTAATCTGTATTTTGAGGGCTAAGTAAATTGGCAGTGCATCATGAAAATATGCTTGTTTGTTTTTGAACTGTGCCAACGATGTTATTTTATATTGCTATACGAAATGATGGCACTGTAAAAAGACAGCACCTCTGATAATGCAACATTCCTAAATGACTGTATAGCAGCTCAGGTGGTATGTCAAAGTTCTGGACTAGCATTTGACCCCACAGCCTTGTGACTCATGCCTACCACTGAACCAAGCTTTGCTTAACTGTTCTGTATTACAACACTTGTATGTTCAATATTATTCACTGACAGCTCACACAAATGGAAAATATGAAGACAATTGAAACTTGAGATGAAGTCAAATATTTCACTGATGCTAGAAACTTGGAAATGGCACTATTTACGTACCTTAATATAATTCAGCACTTTCATCAATTTATCCCCCTCCTCAACTGAGTTCGCCGACTTTTGCTCAAGCGAGTTTCTATTCACACAATCGGATGCTGGTCAATTAATCTAAACAGCAAGTGTTAACAGGCTAACCAATTCACCTGAGTCTGACCCTATCGTGTCTCATATGTACATCCTAACAGCAATCATAAAACAGTGGCCAGCAATTGGTACTTCACTAATTTTCTCCCCATAGTCCAGCATATGGAGGTCAGTTGTACCATCTCAAATTGCCAGGAGTCTATTTGCGCCAATGCTATTACCATTTGATCTGAACTTTGATGCAAAGGTAAGTGTGAATTAGGTACAGAAATGTACATTTCATAAGCAACTTTGTTCTCAATATTTTGCTTCAAGAGCTTCCCATTGCAACCCAGGTTTAGTGTAACAGCATACTCTACTGCTCAGAAAAGTGGTATATGCTCTGTCAAAGTTCACTAAATCTGCTAATTTGTAAAAAGCATGAGCATTGCCTGAACACAAGAATGAGGCAGTATTTTTAGGAGAAGGAGGAATAAAAGTGGAGGGTGAATTAAGTCAATTATGAGTATTCTATAGGGAATAAACTCTTCTCCCCTTCCTATCTGTAGTAGGGATAAAAATAAAATTTCATTATTTTAAACTGAGATTAATAGCTGTATATTTTGAAGTGAAAAATTATAATTGGTAATGATGAACTGATATTTATAGATCTCTTGTTTAACTATTCAAGATATCATCATCAGTAAATGTTTTCATTTCACAGGAGAACAATAAGTGGAGTTGTTTAATGGATGAGCAGCTTATGACCTGGGCCACATCTAAACCAGAGGTAATTTATTAGCATACTTGCAAGATCGCACAACAAAATACTTTTGCTGCAATGTTTGTTCAGCAGACAAAACTGATTCCCTGTCTAGTGACTGTTTTTTCCTTGAAACAGCTTCCTATGTTTGGGCTAAGTGGATATCATTTCCTGTTTTATGGTCACTACTACTCTCAATAAAGAAATGTGTAGGGTTTTTGGGTGTTGGCTCTTGATTTTCCTAGTCCCTGCTTGGTACTTTCCAAGTGGCACTCGGTTTAGTGAAGATTATGAATGTAAAGTGTTATGTCTGTTCTGTGACTCTAATGTTTCACAGTCTTGATTGTTGCTCTCTCAAACTTGCTTTCTCAGTGAGATGCCGCACTATGCCCAAAATAAGTTTAACAACAGCAGCACCAAAGGGCTAATCCTTATCATTTGAATTTTAGGACTGGCAGCTTGGTGGTAAAAGTGATGTGTTCTTATGGGGAGGTGGACGTCATGGACAGCTAGCTGATGCTGGAAACAGTGCTTTAGTACCTACACTTGCTCCATCACTGACACAAGCTTTGCAGGTGAAGTAATTGATTTTCCTGAATTCTCTCAAAAATGATAAATGAGCATTAAGTTATATGTAGTTCAACTAATCAAGTATAATATTTTATGACTACATCACATGTAGAAATAGAGATGTTCTAAATTACTATTTCGTGCTATGTATGAATGTACTTGTTGGGACTATTTAATTGCAATTCAGAATACTGGTGCTAAAATTGTGTTGGTAAAATTACTAGTAGTAAAGTATATCTTGTTTTAACTGGAAGCCACAGATATGTAGAATGTGAAAAGGTATTTAATGGCAAGAGATTAACGTACACTTCACCCCCTCACCTTACCCCAATCATACTCCTTTTAAAAAAAAAACCCTTGTTCAATGATTTTTATATATAATTGTGGTAATTACCGCAAGACACATGGTAATCTGAAATATATAAATTCAGCCTTGTAGTAAAGTCGCTATAGTCTGAGCAGACCCTAGGGCTGCTCTCTCATTAGAGATGACTGGTGCTGGCTTAACCTGAGGGTCACCAGACCTTGGGTGAGAGGACAGGTTGACGAAGAGAACCCTTCATGGTAACCTCAGCCGGTGCAGGAGTTGAACCCACTCTGGTGTCACATTGCATTGCAAACCAACTATGCAGATAAGGAGCTAACTACCCTCCCTGCCCCCAACCACCCCCCAGTTCAGCCTTCTAGATGAACCTAATTACAATTCTGTGCTCTTCATTCATTGAATGGATTTATGAAAAAACTTATTTTTCTTCACTATGATCTATTTCTAAGTCATTTTATAGAAAGACTGTATAGCCTAAGCTGCTGTGAGAGCATTTTCACCCTATTCTGTTTTTATTTATGATTTTTAAGTTGAATATATTGGGAATGAAATTCGGGGTAGGTTGATGTAGGTGGATGATGAACGAGCAAGAGTTAATGCAGAACGTGGATATACTAATAGAAGATAGTCAAGAAGACCATTGAATAATCAAGTCTGAGGACAAAAGAGTAAATAATAGCCTGTACACCTGGTTTATTTGGGTATGAGTACAATGAACTCTGTTTGTAAGAAGTTTCTATTTTGGAGACATCTTGTGGTCATGGTGAAACAAAGATAATTCTGAAAAGTAGGATATTCTACCTGTGAGGTAATTTCTGAGACCTGAGTCTGGTGAATTGAGGAGTCATCCAAGATTTGGCACAACAGGCCAGGTGTTCCTAAACTGTCCTGATTCTTATATTGATGTCAGGTAGACACCAGTATTATAGTTGAGATAGTAAGAACTGCTGATGCTGGAGTCAGAGATAACATAGTGTGGAGCTGGAGGAGCGTAGCAGGCCAGGCAGCATCAGAGGAGCAGGAAAGTTGACGTTTCGGGTTGGGACCCTTCTTCAGAAATGGTATTATAGTTGCTTCATGTCTTTATCACATCTACAGAAAGCCATTTCATAATTTTCTATGACAACAAGGTGCAGGGCTGGATGAACACAGCAGGCCAAGCAACATCATAGGAGCAGAAAGGCTGACGTTTCGGGTTCTGATGAAGGGTCTAGGCCCGAAACGTCAGCCTT